CCCTTTGTCCTAGAACAACCCCTAACAAATCTCCCCAAAATGAAATCATATGGGAAGGCTTCAGGCTAGAGCTGCCTATGTTTGTACAACACTATAAAAGCTGCAGTTGCTGCCTTTGCCATGTGTCTTCTACAACCAAATGCTCAGAGAAATTGAAAATTCCATATATCAGGAAAGTTTTCATCACGTTAACTTTAGGTTCTCTTTAAAAGACAAGAAGTTACAGAGGTGTGAATCTGCCCCACGGAGAGAATCAGAATGTTTCTTCAGGGAAGAGCCTGCAGTTGTATGCAGCTACTCAAGGGTTAAGGAAATTATTTCAGATGGGATCCTACATCAGCAGCAATATCCCATTTCAGCAACAGGATACAAGCATTCTAATTAGAAATGTAAAACAATATTATTTCCACACTTACAATATTCAAATTAATATGAAAAGGTTTCTTATTGCCATGTTAGTATGTTTCCTTGCTCAACTACTTCTGTATGGGAGAAACAGTAAATCTGATAATAGGCCTCAGGAAAAAGGTCTGTATAAAACTGATAACTTCATATTAACTTCTAAGGTAATGGTATTTTAACAGAAAAACTTAGGTGCAGTTATAATTTTGTCTTTTCTTGTGCTTTGCCTGCAGGATGCTACCACAGCAATAGTGCTGGTCTATGCAAAGGTATCTTTAGTTACATAGCAAGGTTTGGGGAGTGCAGCTTTTAAAGCAGTTACTCAACCTGCCCTACCCACAAAGCGGCTGTGCTTAGGAAGGAACGCACGCGACTCCTTTCCCCATGGGGAACGATGGGCTGAGGCACTGTGTGGCTCAGGAGCTGCTTCCTGGTGCCTAAACACATGCCTGTCAGGGCTCCACGTCAGCAGGACCTTAGCTTTGTTCCTCTGTAAGGTATTTTGACAGCTCTTTAGCAAAATAGCAATCTAATAAAATATTTGGTTTGTGAGTGAGAGCAATTTTTATGTTCTAATCCCTGCATTTTATAGCTATTCCGTTGGAATCAGAAGGGTGAATACTCATTGAACTGCACGTTCCAACTATTTGTGATACATAACTGCAATTCAGACAAACATTTTTTAAGTAAAAACATTACAAGATCATTTCTTTTCACAAATAACAACTTCCTGTAGCACTCACATAATGTTTTTCCAACATTTTTTCTCAGGAAACATAAAATCTTCAACTAAAATGGCAAAAACAGATTCGTATTGCCACTGCTGTACCACAAATCTACACTGGCCACAGCTGTGCAAACAATTCTGCACCTGTGATACCATCTACATCCAGCCACAATGAAATGCTCCCCATTGAATCACCAACTGTTTCTTTTGCTAGTACCAAAGTAGTTAATCAGTGAAAGTACTTCTATGAGATGAACAGCTAAACACTTCTAAGTGAATACGATCACCTCCCTTAGAAACATATGACAGACATGCATATAACACATTAATACACTAGATCTATCTGTCACTGATATATATTGCTACAATAAGGAAACTGCAACATATTTCACGACTTTTATATACAGAAACTATTTAAGTGGAATATTCTACATGGTCACTATTTATCTAAGATGCACATGTGGAGAAAAAAATCAAAATTAAGACAGTTCAGAGTGCTTATTATAAACTGCATATATCTTTAAAGCTTTTAATTTAGCTTTGCAATCATGGATTAAAAAAAAAAAAAAAAAAAAAAACACTGGAAATCATTAACAACTGCTTAAGTTTAATTCTGAGTTTACTTAAGACACAGTAAAGTGAACACAGTTGCTGTGTATAATGGCAATTATACTTAAGAGGGGAATTAAGGGAAAGGAGTTGGTAATTCCAGGGTCTTGGTCAGTGCAAATCCAATCTGGGATTACAACCTAACTTTCCTTACTAATGTTCCCTAACCAACCTAACTTTCCTTACTAATGTTCCCTAACCATCAGACCACACACAGATCAATTCTTTAACTGCTGGTCATTTTTAAGCCAGCAAAAGCAGCATGTCACATTTAGTTTTTGCAATAGCTTCATTTAATATATATATATATATTTTTTTTTTTCTTTTATGTGGTAAAGTTTTTGTTTTGTTGTTGTTCTTTTTTTTTTTTTTTATCTGTAAAGAATGTTCTGCATGTAGACTGATGGAGAAAATTCTATTTCAGTCCATCACAAATTATAGAAAGTGCCCACCTTAGAAGTAAATGTTGTAAGAACATGAAGAGATGTGGCTATAAAATGGCTTATAATAAATCTCCAAAATACTGATTTTTTTTTTCAATTTTGAATGTAATTTTATATGTACAGATAAACATCAGTACCTTTATTTTTATGCTTTTCCTCAGAAAATAAATTTGTTCATATTTTTAAAGAACTAAATATATTTCTTTGGTAACCTGGATAATAAAACCATGCATTGATTTAGAGAATTTTGCTTCACAGTCTTATCTTTATCATTATAAGCTCCAGCAGATCATTGTTTTTACTAAAACATGAAGAAGAACAAAGATATACTCCATGAGGTAATGATGCAAGGTAACAAACACCAGGACTAGGGCTGTTAATCTCTTAAAATTCATCAGTTAGTGAGCTTAGGGGATAGTTGATAAACCTAAGCAGAGATAATGCATCAAACTGTATGTAGGATTTTAGATAAATAAATATAGTAGATTTTACTTATGATTAAGTTGGTTCTGGGAAATTGTGAAATGCAAGAATTTTCAGGCCATTTCAAATAAACCGGCTATAGTCCTGTTAGTTGGATAGCACAACTGAGGCTTAAAACACCCCCTTAACCAGTTAAAGATATACCTCAGAAGATAAAGGGGTCGATAAGGCTGAAATCCAAACTACAGACCACGCCAAATATACACTGAAAAATCCACAAAATGGGAAATTTCACCATGTTTTCATGGCTGAAAATACTGAACTTTTCTTAAATATGACAACAGGATGGAAGACAAAATGTCAATGCTTTAAAAAGAACATAAAGTAAGCTTTGCAGAAGTTATCTAAATTCTGGTTTTCTTCTCATAGGGAGTTCTCAGCTTTTTACATTACAAGTAACAAAGGTTTGTTAACATAATGCACAAGAACTGTCAGTAGTTTTCAGACAAGGCTGTTGCCATTACACAGATGAATAGATTAATGGCTTAGTCATGGCTTCTTGCATCGTTTTCTTCTCTAGCAATGATTAATAATAACTTGTCAAAATTAAAATTTTTAAAACAATTGGTTGTCAAAAGCATATCATACAAAGAAGATTCATATTAATATTTTTGATTATATTAATAACTGAAACAAGTAATAAGCCTACGTCCAATGATTTGTTCTATTGCTCTACCATACAATTAATCTGCCTCTCATATAGCATTAATATTATGAAGTAAATAGGTCATTTGATGCATTGTTAAAATGTGCAAGTACATTTCATTCTTATGAGGCTGGTAACAGGCTTTACCAACCATTTATAAGCTTAAAAGTAACCTATAGTTTGTTTTTATTTGTATAAACAAAATACAAACCATTTTATATGTCATGGACCTCCTACAGTTATTCATAATGTTTACTGCATATATATGTTTAGTTTAAAATTAAAAATAAGCCATCATTGTGGAAGACAAAAATACACTATAATATAAGAGAAATATATATGCTCTCCTATCCTGTTATTGCTAACTTAAAAGTTATACATCACTCCTAATTTTTATTTATCCTGTACAACTCATTTCTGGTATTTTTATGGAGACTTTTTTAAATATTACTCTGTTTCACAAAGGGAGGGAGGAAGAGAGGAAAGGACGAAGGACCACAATACTTTTTAAGTCTAAGTTCTGCTCTCTCGATATAACCCTTACAAATGACAGCCCTCTACTGGTTAATGAATACATAAGCAGAAGTACATTTCACAACGAGTTTACATTAGTACTATATTTAGCCAAAGTAAATACATACATACGTATATATATATATATGTGTGTGTGTGTGTGTATATATATATATATATGTATATATACACATAGTGGGGGGGGGGAGGGAGGGAAAGGGCTACTAAATTGCCTGAATAATTCCATTTTATTTGGACTGCTTAAAAATCACTATTTCTATTTCAGATAAGAAACATTAGGTTAAGGAAATGGTTGGCTCCTAAATTCTATCGGACATCTCTACAGAGTATTGTAATTCTTCGAAGTAGCAGCCTTATTGGACTACAGCTTTTCATACAATATCCAAAAATAGTAATAAATTTTAATAATAATCATCATGTTTTTGTGTAAATGTTTTGGTCAGTAGAATCATAGAACATTCTGAGTGGAAGGGGCCCATGAGGAGCCCATGAGGATTACCAAGTGGACCTCCTGACTGAAGGCATGGAAACCACAAAAATGAAATATTGCACAAGTAAAAATACTATTTTTATAACTTTTTTACAGTCTAAAATAAGTTTAAATGTGAACATCAGAGAGCTGAGTACCAGCCAGATAAAAATGTGAACCAAATTACGGTAAAGAGTTCACAATGCAACCCAATTTATAAAGAAAAAATTGTTCAGGTATCAACAAACCTGAAATGGTACAAGTGTAAAAAAAAAATCAAGAATAGTCCCAATATTTTATTAATTTATGTCCATTTTTAAACATTTTTTCTGAATGTTTGCCTGTTAAAATGCAGATGACTTCTAAAATAATTTGAAAGCGTCATATATTAAATGACCACATTCAACAGCTAAATTTGCTACCATGTGGCCCAACCAAAGCAGCACCCATCTGCCCTGTGGCCGGCCCAGAAAACGTCCAGATTTATAGCTTTATTTTATATTTATGCCCTGACAGCCATTTTGGGTAGCAGGCCTGGGGCTCCTCTCAGCGGGACACTGCCAAGCTGAGGTGCTGCTGCCTCATGGCGGAGAGCAAGCTCGGTTCAGCCAGCTTCTTTTGTTAAGAAATGCCGTTAGTCAGTGACTAAAAATGAAGCATTTGGAATAAAAAAAATGACCTCCGTACCTGACCCCTGCCCTCAGAAGACCCTCAACTAGAAGATGAGACACCGCCTCCAGCCGCCTGAGGGCGCCGCTCCCTCAGCCGCGGCGAGGCCGGGCGCAGGCGCTGCTGTGGCGGGCTGGGGCCGGCGGCGATGGAGGCGCTGCTGGACCACAGGAGGCGGGTCTGGAGGACTTCTTCCACCGGGACGGGCTGGCGGTGTGCGCCCGGGGACTCGGCATCGCCCGCCTGCTGCTGCGCTTCCTCCGCCCCTACAGCGAGCCCGCTAGCTTGGTGCTGAACGTGAGCTCCGCCGAGAACGTGAGGGGAGGAGGAAGGAGGCGGCTGCCCGCCGGCTGCTGCCGCCTTCGAGATGGGGTTTGGCGGCTGGGGCTCTTCCAGGGTCGGTTGGCGGGCAGCGAGGGGCCCTTGTCACTTCTCGGGCCGTAAGTTAGTATTGCCTGCTCCCTGAAAAAAAGAGCCGTTAAAATACTGTGAAAAACGCAAGATAAAATTTTCAGCGTAGCTAAGATCTATCGAGTGGCAGTGGCTTGTACTTTCTTAAATATTGTCTAACTGCTATTGAAAATACTTCTAAGTTACCTGAAAGGGTTTGAAATTTAATGAAGGATTCTGACTTCCTTATCTAGTATCTTACACTGTCATGTTTGTATGTGGTTGTGGACAGCTCTGCAAAGCTAATGAAATAGGCCTAATTGCAATTCTTTCTGTATACATTTCATTGGTTGTTAGAATGAAGTCTGTTGTGTTTTTACTGTATTTTTTTTAGGAGTATTTTATTGATCAACTGAGGTCAGATGGAGTTGTTCGTCTTCCTCGGCGCGTTACCAACGAGGTTGCAAGTAACACTCACTATGAATTTTACATGCAAGGAGGAGTTATCTCTGCAAAAAGTCGAATCCTCGTGGTAGGTTTCCTTACTGACACAATTCCTGCGAACCTCATTACTGGTAAGACCTTAATGAAGTCAAGCTGTGACTGAAAATACATAAAGCTTAATTCTGTTGAAAGAGTTCAAATGACTGATATTAAGGTTGAAGAATTATTCAAAAAAAGAAAAACTGAGGTAAAAGGAACAAATATGTAGTTCTTAACTTTTTTTTTTAAATGGTCATCTTTGCTCTAAACTTGTTTGCTTTATTTAATCACACAATTTGAAAAAATCCACATTCTTTTTAGGTAGTGGATAATGTTCCTGTATGGCTTTCTGATATCAATAATAAACTGGAAAACAATCAGCAGTTAAACCATGCCATGACGTAAGAAACACGGAAATTCAGAGTGGCTGCATTACTTTCCAAGGAAAATAACTGATTGTTCTTGAGAAAATACTATTCAGAGTACTCTCGGTAAATGGCCTGTGATTGAAGCTGATTTTAGATTGTGTATTTATCAACCGTGCACACTTGCTGGTTTTTGCATTAATCACACAGAATCACAGAATTTCTAGGTTGGAAGAGACCTCAAGATCATCGAGTCCAACCTCTGACCTAACACTAACAGTCCCCACTAAACCATATCCCTAACCTATTTTTGAAAGGGCTGATAATTTGAAAAGAGTCTGAAAGGAAAAGACCTGAAAAACTTATAGAATAGTATGTGGTACATAGAGGAAGACTCTTTCAGAGGAAGAAAATGTTTGGGGGAAAGCTCTGAAGATGTAAAATAAAGTTAGAGAGAAAAAGATAACAGAGAACCCTTTGATGAGATTCTTGTATGTACTGTGCCTGAACTGCAGCTAACTGAACTCCTGATCTAACAAGTTGTATGGACTCATGAATACAGGAATGCATTATGAACTCAATTCTAAGACACGATCCCCTATCTAGTGTCAAGGAATTAAAGTATAAAATTTGGCAAGGCAGCATCTTTCAAAAAAGTAGATTTTTCCATCACTGTTTAAAATAAAGTAGACAAGTCATCAAGCTCACCTTGGGGATATTCTGGTAGAAGTCCTGAGAACACTGACTTGTTTCTTCACAATTTCTGTCCCATTGATTATGAATGTAAGGAATGCCACGCTCTGTCAGAACACTGGCTAGATGGACTGTTGCTTTATCTCCAATAATAGCAAAAAGAAATGCTGTGCAAAAACATGCAAAACTGACCCCTCTCTACACTCCATTCCCCTTAGGCTCCCTGCACCCGAACTATCGCCTTCTGCCTGTCAGACGATGCACCCTTGCTCACCCTTTTTAATGGCAGTTCACATCTTGTAACATCTCGGATGCTATCTAAATAGCAATATTATGAGATAATGTTGTTAAAACTTCGCAAAGATTTTTGGACATAGCTCGTGACTTCATTTGTTGTTGTATAGAAGTTACACATGAAAGATGTTCCAACTGTCTTGTTCTCTAATGTTCTGGTCCCCCTCTTCTCCTGACCTCAGTTATTTTTATGTTCTTGTCTAAGCTGGAAACCCTCTTACAGCCTGGAGAGCTAGTAAAACAGATGCATGAGAGTATAGGAATATTTTACTGGTATATAAATATTAACATCTTTATAATGTTTAAATGCAACAGAATACTAAATATGTAGAAGAATGTATGCTTTTGCTTCATACACTGTATTTCCTTCCTTTTAGTCAACCTTTAAAACGTCAAATCTGTAAAACATATTGAACAGCTTCATGCTAAGGCAAAAGGACACTAGACTTGTCAATTCTGTTTTTTCCAACTTCAAAAACAAAATAAGTAAACAGTTTCTGGGCACCTCCTTTTAATTTCTGTTCTTCCCTTTGTCTCCTTCCTGTTTGCCTTTCCCCCTTATCCTGAGGAAAAATGCAAAACAAAATAAAACAAATCTTTGGGTTTTGTGTGGGTGAAAGGAGTAAATGCACTAAAGATATTATTTATTTATTTATTTTTAATTACTGACCTGAAATGACACAGTTGTTATACTCATTGTAATGCCACTGGAGGTCAGTGTGACAGCAGTTTTTACAGACCTGGTGCTTCATTTAAAGCTTTGGTAACACGCATTTATATTGGAAACGTACTAACTGTGTGGGCAATTCAGCAGATAAGCCATTCAGTGCTCTTGTCTTGGGCAGGAGGTCTGCCTTTTTTTTTTTTCCTGTCCAGTCTAGAATTTACATCTTGTGTACTCAACACTCTGCGTTACAAACTCTACCTTTTGGTATTACAAAGATGTAGAAGTGAACAACACAAAGCTCTCTGAATTTTGCTGCTTGCCTTCTGAACCATGAAAAGACTTGGGGTGCAGCACAAAGTAAGGAAAATGCTCATTGAGTTGCAGAGTTCTTCAGACTGTTCTCTGTGCCTCATTCTGTTTGTAAAATCAGCTGGCACCTTTGTAACCATGTGGTCAGATTAGCTTATTGTGGCTGTGTTGGAACAATGACCTACTCTACTGCTTACCGAAAGCTGGAGATGTTAAATTATCTGACAGCAGATCCACGTGACTTCAAGGGATTTGTGAGCCTATTACAGTTTCTTCCTTATGAGATTTTTGTTGTTGTTTTTCCTTTGCAGTTTGTTACCTGTAATGCTGATGTGAAATCCAGTGCAGTATTTCTCCATGGATCAGTCACCAGAGCTACAGGCTCACATGCCTAGAATGAGAACAGTCATAATCATGAAATCATCAGATGGCTTTATGAGACCATTCATAAGACTGCAGTCTTTGCATCTGTAGAAGTGGATTCATCTTGCATTTAGCTTACTTTACATTTAAATCGTCGTTTATAACTTTAGTTTATATGAACTCCTTGATAATTACAGTATCGCCATATTTCAGCCATCATAGCAAAACACTTATTAACTGATATTTACTGTTGATGTGAAGCCTTCTGTGCTTTAAAAAAATTTTAGGCTTTTATTCCTCTGGCTTTCTACATTGTGTATCTGCATCATACTCATCTTAATTTGAAAATTAAATGACATTTTAATGTTTTCAACTTTAGCTAAAGAAAGAATGCTAAACACTAGAGGCACAGGCCAGTACCTGTAAAATCAGATTTTTCCTATTTTTTAACTGATATTTATAATACCTTTTTTTTTCTTAATATAGAAAGGAAAATATGTACTGAAAGCATTAAATTACATATAGCTGCTAATCGTTGAATTTATGAATTTATATAACGGCATCTATATTGTAACTTTGCAAAAAATGGTTACTCATCAAAATAAATGTCTCACCATCATGTCTTCACTTCGCTATTTTTTATCGGGATAAAAAGTGGCAAGTGGCATCTCCTGTAAGTAAAAAAAGGGCATTTATATCTTGATTGATATAGTAGAAATCTAACATCCTGAATTTTCCACTTTATATTTCTAGACAATACATCACTACTTAGATCCTCTCTGGCATCAGCTTGGAGCTAAGACAAAATCTTTGGTCCAGGATTTGAAAATGCTGCGTACTACAACAGTATTTAAGTCAGTATGATTGTGTCACTTTCCTCAATCTTCTGCAGTCACTGAAAGCAAGTGAAAAAGCTTTTGCTGAGAATTCAGGTAAACACTGAATAACCATACAAGTTAATGCATGAAACAGAGGAATTATGATATTTTTAATTAACATTCCTAAACATATGAAGGTATCTAATTAGGTTTTATATAACTAGCCATACGGACGTAGGTTTTTATTGACAGATAATGCTTTCATCTTCCCACTTAACTGCTGTTACTTAACAGTGTGAGATTTGCATCACATTTGTCTCTTATTAAGCTAGTAATTACATAGTAAGCAGGTAGCACAGGTAATCTAGATGAGAGATTTGAGGCTATTATTGGAAATGTCTGAAGTCTGAACACTTCAAATATCGAACAATTAACATTTTCTTTTTCTCTTTAGGTTGGCTGTTTCTTGACTCCAGTACATTGATGTTTGTAAATGCTCCTGTGAGAGTTTATCACGTTGCAGATGAGAAACTGAATGAGAAAGGCAAAGTCTCTGGAAACATGTATGTAAAGAAGGAAAATGGTACTGATCTCTCCTAATTTTAAGTTTGAGAGTGTAATGTGATTTCAAATATTCTGTATGTTATTACTTGTGCTGTGGTTTGTTACAGGATCTTATACATCTGCAGACCTCAATCTGGTAGCTGGGATATATTGAGACATAATCTTTGTTCAAAAAGCATATAATAAACAACATAAAACAGTCACAAGTAAGGCATTCTTCTCAGCTTACTCAGCTGATCATTAGGAGAACTTTTATGGATTGTTCCTGAATTGCATAGATTTCAGCTTGATCTTTTGCATTTTATATGAAGGGATAAGAAGCTGCCATTACTTTAAATATATATATGTATTTTATTCAAGAGTTTCAGAATGGAAGAACAAGTCAATACTTTTTGCTTCATTAGAGTGTTTTTCCCCATTTTAAATGATTCTGTAAGAGTGCTCTCCTACTCCATCAGCAAAACAAGTTGTGTATTTAGGCTGTTGAATTGTACTTGCCTACAACCATCACACTATTGACATTGAACCACTAATTTAAAGTTCTGAAGGGTATTTTGGCTGTAAAAGCCGCTATGTTTAATCTTACTTTGTTTCAGAACTGAAAAAGGAATTGGTTCTAGAAAGTAACCCAAAATGGGAAGCTTTGATAGAAGTATGGAATGAGATTGAAAACGAGAATAAGAACAGTGAAGACTTCGGTGGTCCGGGTGAGAAAATACTAAATAACGTAAGTTTTCACAGTACATCTGATTTTCTCTTCTATTTGACTTTTGAGAGAAGTAGCTCTAATTCTTTACTGTGATTATACTGAAGAGCTGGTTTTAAACAATAATTTATGGACTTAAGACAAAGCGTTTCATGTGTTCTCGCCGGTAGGATAGATAGTTATAAGACAATTATCTATTCAGTTTATCCCAGTGTAAATCAAAAGATCTCATCTGCTGTGGTCTTTGTTCTAAATAATGAGGCAACTTGTACATGTTCCAGCCTTCTACAGCAATTAAAGTAATGCAGAAATAGAACTGCTTCATAGCTTTACAGGCTGTATCGGTCTGTTATGCAGTCTTCCCTGAGCTGTTAAGACAACCATAGTCCTCTTGCTTAGAGTGCGGAGGGGCATGGAGCTGCAGGGGGCTAGAACTATATTAGTTAAGGTACTGCTTGGTTCAGGTTCAAAAAAACAGAGGTTTCATCTTTTGCCCATTCCATCTCATACATTTTCTTGGGCATCTAAAAATCGCCTTTCCTGGAGGTGCAGCTTCTTGGGTAGAGAGTAGAAGGTGAGTGTGTTTCTAACTAACTGCGTTGCTGCCTCTCCTATTTTAGGACTTTTCATCCCCTTAAATTTCACCGAGTTTTATTTTAGGAAATAGTAAGGGTAAAAAAGTGCTCTTTTCTCCCACCCACAGTGTTCTGACTATGGATAAGAACTGGCTCTCTAACCTAGTGTTGTAGGAGTTTATCTGAATCAGCTTGCAGAGAGCTGTTATTCAAGGCCCACAAACCATTCATTTTGAATGGTCAAAAGAAAAACCTTACTGTTTTAGATGGTATAAGAATAAGGAATGCTGAACTTTTGTTAACCTTCTCTAATCTTGGTTTGATACAAAATATGATGCAATTTAGACTCCCTGGAGGTCCAGAACAACTGTGACCACCAAGTGTAAAAGGCATTTGGCAGGCACACTTCTAGGATCATTAAAAACAATTTGCTCAAGATGTCTTGTAACTGGATTAAAAGAAGTACATCATAACAGATTATAAACATTATATTGTTTCTTGACTGCAGGAGAAGTGCTTACTTGTGCCAGTGATGACTGAGCTTGTGCACAGCTCAGGGAGTATTTTACTGATGGAGAAGAAGCCTTTTTAACGAGACTATATAATAAAACTTTTGGAAAGGATGAGAAAGCTGGAGAAGTGTGGATTAAGGACAGAAAAACTGTCAAGTCCAAAGGAAATGCCAGACCAGACACAGGGCCTCAAGCCAAAAAAGCCAAACTTGGAACTTCTTCAAAACAAAACAAACAGAAGAAGCAGCAAGACTGGACTATAATCTAAATGATAGGGAAAACTGAGGAGGAAAACAAAGAGGAGTTGGATGTGGAAGATAACAGAGTTAAACAGCAGCCAAGAAGGCAGTATTGATGAGACCATTCCTGAAGATTTCACCTATGGACTTACCTTCAGATTCTTACTATGATATTTTCAAAAACTCATTCACAATTATTCATCTGTTGCAGGGTTGCAATGATCCCTATGCTCTGACCAGGGTATGGCATGAAGTAGAACCAAGATACATTGTGTTGTATGATGCAGAGCTATCTTTTGTTCAGCAGCTGGAAATCTACAAGGAAGCAGACATGGAAAGCCTCTGAGACAAGTGAACTTGGTGATGATAATCAAGACTGTTCTTGGTCTAATATTAATCTTAAAAGAAAATCTATTGTGCACTTCTGGCAATCAAGGCACAAAATACATCTAGTGATTTTCTTAAGCTACCTTTTAATTCCTGTTTAGCCTTCTTTTTAATTTTAAACACAACTATGTCGAATGTAATTGCAAGATAATTTTTACTTCCCACTAGGTATTTAGTCCCTTAATAACAGAAACACAAATGTAATAAAATGTCCATTCTATAAAAGGCAGTTTCATGAAGATAAGATATCCCCATGCAAATATATGATTTGAAGTCTTATATGTTTTTGTATTTTTTTTTCCCTAAATCAGGACAATTGCAGATTGTATATAGTTTGTTATACATAGTCTTCTGGGAATTTTTTTAAAATAATAAGAAAGTAACTTCTCCATTATATTTGCTTTGTGTCTGACATTATATATATATATAATATATATATATATATATATCCTATGTCTATATATAAAGATATAAGATTTTTTTTTTTTGTTGCTGATTCTGGAGTATCTTTGCAGAAAAAAGATTATGTTTTCAGCTTACCTTTTTAAGGCAAATATCACTTTTCAGGCAGTTACTGCTACTAATCTTAAATACCGTTTTTTGGTATTTTTTTAATTTACTAAATAGTTTTGTGTTATGTTTTTTTTTCCTTCTAAACCTACAGGGTGTATTTCCTCATATATGGAATCTCAACAGAAGAACAGCAATACCTGACAGCTCTGAGAAAAGAGAAGGAAGCCTTTGAAAAACTCATTCGGTAACAAAATTAACCTTTGTTATTAATTTCTTACATAATTCCCTTAAGTGATCACATTTCAAATGGTGAAGTTCTTAACTGTGTGAAGGATAGATCTATAGAAGTTAAAATATATCTTCTACAATGAAATGCCGTATTTCTGTGGGAAACAGCTGGAAATAAAAAGCAGTAGCTTCATTATCTGACTTTGCAGGAAACATTTTAGACACTTTCTTCATGAGTTTAAGTAATTTTCCTCTACAGTTTAATATATCTCGTTGTCACTACACAGCGTATAGAAGGTAACATGATAGTTCTATTAAACTGCAGAGCATACTCCATAAACTATAGTGTATATAATGTCTTTAAAGTTTAAAATTAAATAAAGTCTTGATTTATTGTACTGCTAAATATGAGGTATAATGTGAAAGGTGAAGTTCATCCATTATGGAAGTGTTGGCATCACACAGGATAGATAGAGTTGGAGGTCATGTGTTAATTTGGTTAACTCTCTATTTTGCTCTTCAGGTGGACAGGAACAGAAGAGTACTCAACAAACTACAATAGTGGACATGCAGGAATTTCTTAGTGAGCTTCTATCATCGTCATGGTATTGACATTGAGCCTGTTACTTTGGAAGTTGGAGATTATATCTTAACTCCTGATGTCTGTATAGAGCGGAAGAGTATCAGTGATCTTATTGGTTCATTAAACAGTGGAAGACTGTACACACAATGCATTTTGATGTCTCATTACTATAAGCTACCAATTCTTCTGATTGAATTTGATCCTAACAAGCCTTTCTCCTTGATTCCACAAGGTTCTCTACATCAGGAGATTTCTAGTAGTGATGTTACTTCTAAACTAACTCTTCTTAATGCTGTTTCCCAAAGTTACGTATCCTGTGGTGTCCTCCCCACGCTACTGCTGAACTGTCTGAAGAGTTAAAACAAAACCATCCACAACCTGAGGCAGAAACAGCAGTGGCTATAACAGCAGATTCTGAAACTCTGAGTCTGACACATATAACTCTTTGCAGATTAGTCTGCATATGACAACACAGAAAGATGATGTAACCCTAGCAGTGTCAGGTAAACCTGGTCATAAACAAAAGGCCAGGCCAACCAACCTAACATCTTGACTGCAAAAGCAAAACCTTACTGATACAGAAGTTTAACTAGACAAGCAGGGCTTGGGTAACTTAGCTTACCTTACAGTCTGTAAGTAAAACCTTAATTCCATATATAATTTATTTAACTTGGCTTCTGTTGCCTAGAATTGCTTGAATCCTCAAGAACAGCTGGCAGACGCCAAGAGAAAAGAACATACTTAAGACAGCAGCAGAGAGGGGGTTTATTAATTATTAAAATTTCTGTATTTTATTTAGCTTCTGCTGCCATCTACAGTAGCCATCACCAATCTACACAAAGAGCAGGTACAGCAGTAAGAAGAACAAAATAAACCTTCAGCACAAGAACATGCTGGGCTAGAAAGGCATGGTACTGTAACAGTTACTGTAAGACTTAATGAATCTCTTTGTAGACAGCATCTCTCTCTCAGTAAGAGACTAAAAATTCATTCACACCTACTTCTCTGCTCTGTAAATGAGTTAACTCATCCACATAGTGCATAGATAAAAGCACAAACTTCATCAGTCTGTGTGAATCAATACAGCAGTGGAGCTGCCTATGAACTGATAAAAGTTTTAAGTTCTCTTTGTAAGTGATTGGTATTATTTCTCTTTAGAAGGTTTGTACATGGGTACCAAACAGTTTGATTCAGTTTCTAATTTTTCTATGTGGTCATTTCATGATGAACACCATGTGGAATTTATTTTTAATCTTCTCCTGAAGAGCCTTGTGTAATTAAATATTTTTCACTAGCTATCTCAGTAGAAATTTTTACATTTCTGATAACACCAAGTAATGCCGCATTTCTTCCCAAACCTGTATGTCTAATAAAACCTGCTTGTGGTAGAAAGTAATCTGTCCAAGGCATACTGGTCACTTTTTCAGAATGAAACAGTAAAAAACAAACAAAAATGTAGTATATGTTTTAATGGTAAAATTACCTTGCAAACAAATCCTTAGAAATGATAGTTTATGTTCACACCAGCAAATGCTGACTTCTACTTCTTCCACTCTTCTCAACAGTCTCACTTGTCAGCACTGTATTAGAATCTGAAACAGCATGAACCCTGAACTCCACTCAGTATATCAAGTCACAGAATCACAGAATTTCTAGGTTGGAAGAGACCTCAAGATCATCGAGTCCAACCTCTGACCTAACACTAACAAGTCCTCCACTAAACCACATCACTAAGCTCTACATCTAAACGTCTTTTAAGTCAAATCTATTTTATTTTTTAGTTTTATTTTTTTCATCTTTGATTTACATCTTTCACTTTGGGAAATTTCTACTGCTCCAAACAACTGATTCTACTACTTACTGTGTTAGATTTCTATTTCTATAGATTTCTACTTGATTGACAATCTGCCCCAGATGTTAGAAAACTCACTCAGGTTTTCAGTCTACATGAAACAAAGGACTGAATGGAACGATAACATTTACCTTAATATGCATCTGATTTAGCTTGTGTTTCCTAGTCATTTTTGCCTCAACAGAAATTTTCTTAGTAACCTACATGCAGGCCACATATGGATCTTGATATATATCTACATATGGATAAAGACATATATTGTGTATGCTACATAAAACAATATGAAAATATATGCACTAAAAAGAAACGAATATGAAAATACTTTAAACTATTCTCTTGTCGGTTTATGATGTAAACAAGATGCAAGCAGCATTCTTTTTGGACTGTGGCAACTTTTAAGATACGAGCTCCCTGTGACTTAAAAAAGACGAGATATCTGCATTAGTCAACAGCAGCCTGTTCTATCATACTTCAGAGAACAAAAAGCACGTCATTTTTACAAACCAAATGTACTTGACTAGCATACAGTGCTAATTCACTGAGTCAGAAAGTTTTCACACCAGTGCTAAAGCTCAGAAATATTTGAGAAGAGTTCACTTCTTACTTTCCCTCCTTCCAGTGATCACCAAATAACCTCCAACAGCTAACAAACAAAACCCTCTGCATGCCAGTCAGTAAAGCTATTACTGATACAACAAAATAATCCTTAAAATGTTTCTCTTCTATGTAAATATAAAGCCAATAAGAAGACTAGACTTAAGAAGAGCCTCAATCATCTGTAATATTCTCATAAAAGACCTTTTCTGGTGATCAGAAAGGTGGATCTCACAAAACACCATAAAATTAATTCCTGCATGATTAATGATCATGCTGAATATGTTTGCATAAAATATAAACTTCAAACTCTTTGCACCGCTGCTGGAAATTAAATCTCAAAGTTGACCCTAAAGTGCCTTTTCCCTATTTGCTATGCGGACATCATCCATGAGGATATGGATTGCTCATAAGCCAATGAATTGTTCTTCTAACAGCTTGCTACTGTTTAGACATGAAACTCTGTAAACTAGAAAAAGTTTCCTGAAATAAGCTTCTTACAGTTGAGCTAGTTTAAAAATAAATAAAAAATGCAGTGATGTTTTATTAATAGAGGTGATATATGTAAGCTAAAAAAATGGAGCAGATATACCAGAATTATTTGTATTTTTATCTCTGAATTTTTGGCTCAGTATATTTTAGGACCAAGTTTATTTATCTATTAATTTAAGAATCCCATCATTAAAATCTTATATGAATGATGGAAAATCACTTCAGATCTAAATAAAAAATACTGCTACTGTACTGTATCTATTATATGTCAGTCTATGGATGGAAACAGAGGTATAGGAGTTTCACCAAATCATACTTGAAAATAAATATGAATCCTTTTAGAAAACCAGTGAGTATATTTCCAGTTCAAAGGATAAGCAAAACTTCAGTCAAATTGCCTTTCTATAAACTTTCAGCACTATGGTTGGTAAACTATTTACCAATAAGAAAAAGCAATTACTAAATATTAACCAGGAAAGCATCATGAACAAAAAATGCAATTACTTGCAATTTTAGTAAGAGTTTTTAAAGAAAATGTGATACTATTGCACATAACTGTAGACACAAATGACACTTCATTCACAGAGTATCATATATCAAAGGCAGTAACTGCTAATAGACAATCAAATGTAGGAAATTAAAAAATCTATGGTCCACAATCTTTTTACTGCAGAAAAAAAAATAAAAAAGAATATAGTTTTTTTGCAGATTGGGTTTGTTGTAATTAAAGCAGCCATCATAAATTTATGGCACACTCAAAAGTTACAAAGTACTAACGCATTCACATGTACGTCAAACCACAAAATTAATGACATAAGTTGATTATTTCTATTCAAAGAGCTAAAACAATCCTATTTCTTGGAAAGATGCCTGAAAAAGTTCAAATAAATGAGATGATGAGAAAGATCTTATGGTGGAGGAGGTGCTTCTCTGGGACTTAGTCTGAAGTTAGTTACTCTGTCAAAGATACCCACATAATGGTAGCTAAGTTAGTTCATTCATTTCAATTCCTGTTTATAGAACAGGAATAATGCTTTATCCAACTTTTTACTCAAACAGACACTTTTAGATGAACTTGATTAAAGAACTTTTTTGTTGTTGTCTTTAAAGAAATGCCTTTATAGAGCATTCACCAGATTGCTACCTTCATAAATTAAGACTATGACTGTGCATATTACATGTGGCTTTGCTTCACAGGAAACTAACAAATAGCCTTATGGTTGGACATCTCAAAGACCTCTACAACCTGCTGCAAATACCTAAATTTTAACAGGCTGAATACTTTCATGCTGTTACTCAAATGAAGAACAGTAATACTAAAAAAGACAGGAAAAAAAAAAAGAAAAGAAAAAGAAAAAACAATGCAGCCCATCTGTCAGTCCAAGTCAAATAAAAGATCATACCAAAATTAAAAACATGTTAAATTACAACTGTGCTAGAAATAAATCAGAAGAAGTGGGCTGCATTGTTTTTTCTTCATACAAACAGAAGCACCGATGGATTTTGGCATCTGATTTCAGCCAGAGGCACCCACTGAGTTTCAGGACAGTGAGCAGCTCTGCCAGGCTGCCACAGTCTGGGGGCCTGGCGGGTACAGCCAACCATTGTGAGGACACAGAGAAAAATGGGTCTTGTGCTCTTGCAGTGAAGAGATTTATGATGCACTAAGATGAAACAAAGCAATCGTTTTCAAAGATGTCAGAACACATGAAAGATGAGGAAGTTTACTAATTTACATTGGATGCATGCGTTAATGAATTGTGCTTTTCCTCCATGCAAGAGAATGGGAAAACCTGTGATTAAAGGAATACTAATTTCATTCTTTACTAAATAAATAAAGATGATTTATTTTCTAAGAAAATGTGGACTAAACATGTTTTGACCAACACCTGTAGTAACAAGGTATCAAAAAGGAGATCATTTTTTAAAGGAAAAAAAAAAAACTTTTGGAATGCAAACAGTAGGAGGGAGGAAGGGGTTTTATGGGAAAGTTTTCTAATACTCACTTTCACCAGAGCTAAGAACTTTTGATAGAGTTTCCCTCCCCCCAATCATCTCTACAGTCAGGGTTTTATTTAATTTACATGGTCTTTTGCAGAACATAAAAATCTTCCATTTGAACATTGTCTTTCCCTTGGTCTCTGAAGAAACCAGACTTGCAAGAACAAAGGTAGCTGCTGCAGCAGCCTTGGAGCCAGCAGGCTGTTTAGGTTTCTATGCAGCTCTGCAAAGGAGCCTGCCTTTGCTCCCGGCAAGATAGAGAACAATGGGTCTTGGAAGACAGGAAAACCTTGAGATTCACGTGCCCACACCAAATCAGATCTGAAAACAAAACATCCTCTTCAGCACATCCCAGCATAGCAGCTTTAAAAATATTCAAAGATAAATTAGACAACAAACCTCCTTTCTGCCAGCCCAGAGGTGCGCAGTCCTTCACCAGTTGTTTGTGCAAGGTGTGAGGCTACAGGCATGCCTTACTATTTACTGGGGAGCTGTTGTGGTGCTAGGAAGCATCAGGATTTACCCACTTTGGGGGCTGAGCAGAAAAACAGACATTTACAGCTATACACGTATAAACTACATGAAGATATCCAATTAATCCCATTTCCTCCTTGTTTTGTTTAACATATGTAATTGCTAAATGAAACGGCATCATGCCACCTAGGTAAGCATTTGTACAGACCTGCAAAGAAATGCTGGCATCGAATTCCCCTGCCACTCCCTGTAACTTCACCCACACCAACAGTGTACACACATCTTCAGTGTTGGCTCAGGCAGCACAGAAGCTGTAGCTGAGACGGTTCCCAGAGTCTCTGCTTCGCTCGCAGCACAGCCGGCTCAGACAGGGCTCCCTGCCTAGGAAGGGAATGTTTTGAGCTGCGCAGCAGGGGATGAACACAGGAAAAGGTGATGAGCAGGAGCAAAACATTCCCAAATCTCGCCTGCTTCTTCCTCTGCGCTCTGATTGCACCTAATCTCACAGGTAATAACTAAAATAACTTCAGTCAAAGCCAAAATCCAAGGGGTGAGAAACAAAAACTCTTTTGTCTTTTCATTAAACCTGCCTCTATAAAACTTAAGCTAAATAACACATTGTCACGTGATCCTGAATTTTAATTCTTTGTCTAAAATTAATACTAGAATAAGTAAGTAAAAAAGACAACCGATAAATTCTATGTTCTACAAGTAATTTCTGAAATCTAAGAGGAAATTTCAGTTTGAAGGAAATAACATCCCAATGCTGTATTTGCCTCCACTCTTCTGCTGTTCTGTGAGAAGCTGAACTTTCAAGTCACCTTTCAATGCTGGTGTCCTCGGGTACAGGGGTGTGCCCTACTGGTGGAGTGGGTGCAGGAGAGGTTTATAAAGTGTTAATTACAGGCTCAAAGATCTTCACTGAAGGGCTTGTGTGCCCTAGAAGGAGGCTGTACTTTTTGCAATCTGATTCTCCAAGCGAAAGCTGGTCTCCAAATACATCCAGAAGCTGTGTTGCTGCAGGTTCTCCTGAGTACACTGCCATGCTTTTGCAGTGGTCAGTCCTCTGGAGACATGGCTTGCAAGTGTACTCAGGTTATGCTCAGGGTTGTCTTCTAAGGGTGGCATCTCAGCCTCTGAATTCAAGTTGTGTTTTGACACATTTTGTTCTCAGCCTCAGAAGAAGTAATTGTACAGCTTGCTTGGACAGCAAAACACTTTGAATCTTATTTATAACTTAGTTGTTTGATATGGAAAAACATTGCCTCAGCTCTAACTTTCATGTTCTCTGAAAGTTTATTCTGTGGAATAGGGGCAATTGTGGCAGATATATATATATATATATTTTTTTTTTTTTTGAATAGATGGCAGAACCATCTATTATTCTCAGAGAATCCATTTTTATTTTTACTATGTTTTTTATTACTAAGGCTGTGTGATGTTTCTGCCTAGAAGCCATGCTGTTTGTGTCTGCAGAGTCCACCAGCCTTCTCCAAACTGATACTCATCCAGTTTTGCCTTCCATGTTGTGACAGGCAGTGGGAGAGAAAGGTGGGAGAACTTTCCACTGAGTGTCCCCCATTCCGTTGGCCTTCACATGAAGACTTATACCTCCTAGTGGCCTTTCTCAGCAAAGAACATTTGTGATTGAAAATCTAAAAGCACTCCTGTGGCTGCCCAGAGCTGACACCAGGTTAGAAAACAGCATAGTTCCCATCCAGCCCTTTGGTTTAGGCTTTGTATTCAGGGTGCTCTGGGTCTCAGGCAGAAAGGAGGGAAGTGCATCATTGCATTTATTGCTCAAGACCCCCCTTTTAATTTGTGTACAAAATGAAAAGATCTCATGTTTCAGTATTACACCTTTTTGATTCAGTTCCTGAGGGACATCCACTGTAGTTGCAGTAGGGCATGGTAGTGCAGTTACAAACATGTCTGTATATACAATCGTATACTAAACAGGAATGCTAAGGTTCACTGTAGTGTATTTGTTATTTAATTCCTTAACCTTACAAGCATGAAATTTTATCATTTTTACATGTAACAACTATATGCACACACACAAAAGGTATGTATAGTTATGTCTGCACATATCTTTTTTGTGTTGCTTATGAAATCTTACCCTAGGGATACAATTCTCCATCTGAAGGCAGATGTCCCAGCAAGTGCACCATTCGTTTGAATTGTATGTCCGTAACACTATTCCCCACAACTATTGTCTTACCTATGGTGCTAGAAGCTTAGTTTTCTGACACTGTAGCACAAAATCTCAATGGCACTGAGTAAACAACTGCTATGTTCTATGGGTTTCCACAGAAAAGTTCACAAGTATGTGGCCCTCTAAAAATCAGGAAGTGTATTCTGTAGAAAACACAAATGAGTATTAGATTTTCATATATCTTTCCTTTCTTGGAGAAGAGTTCTTCCCAGCAGAAGCCTTTGGGCCCATCCCTAAAACTATTAATACCAAAGAGAAACAAATCAGTGAAGTTTTTATAGAAACACAAACTGTTACTTGGCCCAGAGCTTTTCCTAATGAAAGGAAAAAAGAAACCTTAGTGTCTGTATATGAACTTTTGTGGTTCAGATGAAGTGAGGGAACAGGCTTCACTGTACATAAAACTGTCACAGATTTTGTCAGCAAACTAGGAATGCAGTGTAGTAAGGTAAGTGTAGCCATGAAATGAAGATTGATCTCAACCAGATAAAAAAAAAAAATAGTTTGGCAGCTATTAAAAGGTAAATATCCCAATTCAGAAATATCCTCTTCTTTTAAAAATGGTATGTAGAAAATATAGTAAGATAAGATTCTGTACTACTGAATACAACAAACTATATATCCCAAAAAGTCTTAAAGTCAAGGGTTTAAAAATTAGCAAGCAACCCAGTGCAAGCTACCTCTGTTCAGACCTGGAACATCATTGTGTATGTGAGTCATGTGGACAAACTGGTACCCAATCATGTAATTAAAGTCTGTTAGGTAATTCACACACTTCAGTATGCCAACTCCAGAAATTCACATGGAAACAAGAGTACAAGGAAAAATAGTAGTATACAACCAAAATGTCAAGAAGTATAGAGAATGGACCAAGAAACTAAATCGGTGATTGAGACAACGAGTGTCTTGACAGTAGCAGGGACCCCCAGCCAGAAGTGGTAGAAATACTGATGTAGCAGACTGAGTCTTCCATTATCTAAGTGGCAAGAAGATCCCAGAGATCTCTGGCATTTAGTTTAAAGAATGGCCGAGCATTATGTAAACAGATTCAAATAACCTTTGCCAAAGAATCACAATTGATTTGGCATCTTCTCCCCATATTATTAATGCTTTTATAAAGATATGAATATGAGGAATATTCTAATGGCAGAAAGAAGAGTTGTTGTTCCAGTGCTGTAGAGTAATAATCACCATGAAAATGTTGCTCATGGACTCGTCAACCTGGTTTTGATCCTGAATAGAATTGACATTAACCGGTTAACTTTATAATCTCAGCTTAGAAGAAGGCACCCTCTTTTAATGACAGTGAAAGATTAATATAAGACAGACCTCACTAAGAGAAACAGATCTAATTAAATAAATAGATAAAAAAGACTTATAAAGGAAACAATCTTTACATAACATAGATATATTGTGCCAGAGTAATTACCTTGTTTCTAGAAGAGTGTTGAAATCACTGCTACACTGGATTGGTTAAAACCACTCCATCCATTCTTCCCTTTCAGTGGTTCCCTGGGAACCATTCCCCACTGAGCAGAGAGAACATAATTTTCTTGGGACTGGAAAGTGGCAGAACAGAGGTAAGACAGTTCCCCTAGTGTAGTGCAGGATGTGCCTGTGGGGAATACTGCCCTTGGTACTCTGGTCCAAACACTGCTAAGAATTTTACATTAAGATGTCATAGGATTAAATCCATAAACTTTAATGTAGGCACCATCCCAAACTTCTGCTTTGCTGATCTTTGAGAGAAACATTATAACTTCATTAGTTCATTGAATAAGTTTATCCAAGAAATTAATGAGATAATTTGATTACAGCCTACAAGCACTTACACTATTAAAATCCTGCAACGTGAAAAAAGGCTCTGTACCAGAGCCAAAATCTTCTACAAGTGTCCAGACCAGTCAAGCCTTGAAAGAAACTGTACATTTATAACCCTGATGGGAATTGTCCATTGAAGCAGTCTTCACTAAATCAAATAGGACAGCTTTCTAAAAGCTTGACCTTTTCTCACTGTTTTATTGATATAATTAAAACCTCTGAATTAATGAAAAGGCATGCTTTGCCTTACTGTAAGCAGTACCAGCCTAACTGCTCTGTCACCTGCTCTTTGGTTCTCATTTCTTTGTAAAATACTTTCAAACACTGAAGTGGCAGTGGTGAAACAGAATTTCTGATGCAAACACAGTTTTGCACAATTCTTCCTTCCCCCCCCCCCCCCCCACTACATTCATGTACCTTTTTAATCTTTATTTATTTATTTTCTTGGAATTTTAGGTGAAGATGCTCTGCTGCCCTCACCTCAGAATATCTCTATTCTTTCTACCAACATGAGACACTTCTTAACATGGAGTCCTGTGACCATCCAGGGTGAAACTGTGAGATACTCTGTTGAATTTCAGGGGTAACTTCTGGCTTCTGTTTTGATGTTGTTTTTTCTTCTTTGCTCTTTCAGCACTATTTACTCAGACTTACAGTCCTGCACAGTTCAGATGTCTTGCACACTGTTCAATTCATAAGTGTAAGAGAAGTTCTGTGAAGCTTGATACTCCAGCACTGTTGATTATGAGTGGAAAAAAACTAATTTATGTTCTAATGCTGAGGCTGCTTACAGGCTATGCTTGAGATGATTGTTAATAGATACCTGAGTAATCCATGGTATTCATTAACCCTACATACGAAAAGTACCTCTGACCAAAGAATTCAAAAATTAGGAAGTTAAGTGACAGTTCGTTTAGAAGAGATGCATTCAGTGTTAGTCTTTTAAACATATTACAGAATCACAGAATGGGTGGGGTTGGAAGGGACCTCTGAAGATCATCTAGTCTGACCCCCTCGCAGAGCAGGGTCACCTAGAGCACCTTGCGCAGGATGGCACCCAGGCGGGTTATGAATATCTGTGGAGAAGGAGACTGCACATCCTCTCTGGGAAACCTGTTGTAGTGCTCTTTCACCCTCCCAGTAAAGAAGTGCACCCTCATATTGAGCTGGAACCTCCTGTGCTTCAGTTTGTGCCCGTTGCCTCTCACCCTATTGCTGGGCACAACTGAAAAGAGACCAGCTCCCCTTCCTTTCCCTTCCCTTTCTTTTCCCCAGGGAGTATGAACGTGAGTATGCTAATGAGAGCTGGATCCCCATCTGTGAGTGTTCACTCATCACAGCTACAGTGTGTAACATCACAGAGGATATCTCAGCCACTGTGGCCTATAACCTGCGTGTAAGGGCAGACACTGGTGCTCGAAGATCACAATGGGGCACCCTGAAGGGTTTCTTCAATCGCATCACAAGTAAGTCCTGCTATTTGAGTTAAACTACATCAGTTATGTTCATTCCTGAGTTCTGTCCTTCAGCCATGCCCTGACTGGTAGAGTGGTTTATCTGACAAGTGGTCATGAAGGATGATAATGTAGCGTTCCTACAGTATAGATTGCAATGCAACAGACCCCACCATTCAGGGACCTTACAGTTTTCCACAGCAAATTATTAGACAGCACTTTTTTCAAACAGTTGAGGGTTTCAGCTTAGCCCCATAGTTCTGCCACTGACTGGAGCACCTCACCTTTCTGTAAGCAGCTCTACCTGATCAGCTCCTGCCAGCTACAGCATTGTGGAAGGACTTGCTGCAGACAGTGGAGGACCCTCATATAGAAGACTAGAATTTTTCATTCCCCAAAGTGCTGGAGCCATCAGCATCTTTTAGGACTTAAACAGTGGCTTTGGGCAGTTCTCATCCTGGTCTCCACAAGGAGGTTGGTATGCTGCACATCCATTTATCAGCATCCAAGCAACTCCTCCCTCCAGCTCCCCAGCATCTTAGGTCCTCAACCTGTTTCCTTCAGCTGGCACCTTCATAAACCCTGTTGTAGTCTGATCCCAAGTCTACACCCAAACCCCACCTTTAATCATCACTGAGGAAGATGTGGCACAATGTTTTTTCTTTCCTATGGTTTTGGTCCTCCCCTCACTTTGAGAGCAGGCTACCCAGAGTCTATTAGGCCTAGGACTTAGACAACTTTGAGACATAGGTCCTAGGTAGGATCTCAGGCAGGTACAGTCTGTAGGTAATGTTCAGACTTGTTTTCAATCAAAGCCGTTATCAGTGGCCAGAGCTGTTTCTGAGCTCAGGGGGAGCCACAGAAGGGAAGAACCCACCACACTGCTGTGGACTTGTCTGGCCACATCCAGAAGCGTGATAGCTATCCTCAGCGGTATTACACATTCAGTGGCCACTTTACATAACAAGTACACTTTATGTTTAAATGAGTCTTTTGAGGGGACCTGCTTGTCCTTTCATCTTTGTGGTAAATGGTAAAAATGCCTCATGGTTTGTGCACATTGTGTCAAGGCCTATTTGTGAGTTCTCCGGAGTGGCCACCTGGAACTACCTTTATACCCTTTTCCTCTACTAAGACATCACAGAGGCTTCCCAGTACAATGAAGTGTTTGACAGTTTGGTCCAGCATCTTAGAGACCCCAGTACAGTTCTCTTGCTAAGCTGTGAAATCTACGAAGATACAGCTTGCAATGGGCTGTAATGTGAATATGTGAACAAAGGAGACAGAAAAGGCATTATAAAGTTGTTGTGCCTATACGTTTTTGCTGCCTTTACTTTGGTGTCTCTTAGTAAAACTGGCATTGAGACTAGTAGGCACTAAGGAATTCAAAGCACAGCCTGCAAGTTGTGATTTATGGACAGACAGGGCACCAGCACAAACCACAGTACTTCTGGACTAAAAAAGCTCTAGCCTCAAAGCCTTGGGTGTAGATATACATAAAGAATGGCAGTACATGGAAAACAGTTTTAACAGACCTTCCTTAAAACAAGCAGTTTAGTTGATTTTAGTTCTTCATTTGTCAAAGTTCAGTTGGTTGGCATCCATTGTGCCAGCACAAGAGATAAGTATTAAATGCTCCTGTTCGGTTAGTATTTGTGTCTTGCAGTGTTCATTTGATAATACATTAAGTAAATGTTATTTTTAACCTTCAAACGGTGTTTTCACTTTTTTTTTTTTTGCTTGAGACATGATCATGCTAAGCAGCTTATCAGCTTTTGATTTAAAAACACAAAGCAGTTTTCCAGGCCTCCCATTTGCACCACAGTCATCATGAGCATACTTTAATTTCACATGTTCTTACTCTTCAGCATTACTTGCAATTCACTGTGTGTAAGAACAAACTCTATTAAGAACATCTCTTCTGTATGTTTTGTATGTTCTCTTTCCTTTCTTGAAAGCAAAGAGGTTGAAACCAATTTCAGCTATAACAGAGTTGTAAAGAATCACATAGGTAAGTGGTGCAAATATGATCTCTGTACTGCCTTGAATCACAAAGGTGCAGTGTGTAGTATCATCCATGCTTGACTTATTCTGATTGTTTCACTAGTTAATATTCCTCACAGCAGAATCCCAGACCAAACCAAACTTCAAATATCAGAGTAAGCATTAAGCAAATCACCAACAGATATACTTGCATACTAGTTATAAAAACACGTCGCAGCAGGTAGTCAGCCCAGCCAAGTATTTCTAAAAACATGTAGATACTGAAACAAAATCTGGATTCATGTGAGCTGACTGAATTAACCCGAGGCCTATGTTACTTTCCCTTTCACCTTTGAATAACTGCCAAAATTCCCATGAAGGAGCAGCAGTTTCACAGTTCCTGTTCTGTATAGTAGAGCAAAGATAATGCCCAAAAGCAGAAGAACAGGCCCGATCTAGTGTCTCAGTTTCTGGTTGCCCAGCTGGTTCTGCTGCTGTTAATCACATGGGACCCTCAGGCCAGACACCTCCTCCACCAGATAAAATTTAAAACCTTTCAAGTCTGTACAACTCACCTATTGCCAAACTCCTCTTCACAATGACAGTCACTGTCTTCCTCCTGCTCCAAATCTCCTGCAGTATCTAGACAAATGCGGAGTAGCGTAGAGAGATGTTTCTGCCCCGTTGAGGCAACCAGATTAATATTACCATGCTCATGGTGGAGCTGAAGGACAGTCATGGTGGGGACCCTATCCTCCTCTCCTAGCTGGGAAAAGGAAGACTTATTTGAAGATTTACCTCAGGTGTGATAACAGTGCTCTCTCTCTGTTGGCAGCTTCCCTGACCCCACCTCCAATGAAGGTCATAGCAGATGGGTATCATTTACTAGTGGAGCTGAAAGACATGGGGCCTGCCTTTCAGTTCTGTGTCCTCTATTGGAAGAAAGGCCAGGAGAGTAGGGTGAGTTTTATCCTTGGATTTTGGGCACAAACGGAAAGCCTGTGTGATTTAGAGTGGAAGCATACAAACATTTCCCAGGGTCTGTTTTTCAAGTCCAAGGTGCTGCTGTGAAGCTGAAGGACCTGCCCAGAGGCCATGTGTGCCATATTAACATTAGAAAGCATCCTGTAGGCTTGTGTCTACTTTCCTTTTACAAATGAAACACTACTTTTCTTCGATATATAATATTAATCACCTAAATATTAATTCCAAACTTCATAATAGATTCTACAAACTGAACTGTCACAAACATGAGGTTTACTGGTTAATGCATGTCCAGATCTTTTAATCTTCTAATGTTTTAATAATTGTCACATTGGACATATCTGATCTTTTCAAACTAACGGCTGTCAAGGTCATGTTTCTGTGGAGAAAGATATTTTGATGAAGAGACAGACTTTGCCCTGCTAGAAGAGCCCTACTGGCTTGTAGATATAATGTGTATGTGGTGGTGGAGGCTTATCAAGCCTTCTGTGATCACAGGCTTTGCCTCTACAACACAGCAAGATTTAGGAGCAACTAATTTTCACCTGTTCTCCCATGACTGGGCAGGCTGGGAATAGCAACTTCATCTTGCTAGCAGTTCATAGAGTTGTATTTGCTACAAGAAAATCAGGTTACAAGAAATTCAGGTCAGGTTCATCTGCTGTTTAAACTGTACTGGAACGTGTTACAGTTGTGCACACCAAATGCACTCACTCCTCACTAGCCCAGTCCATCCCCTCTCTGTGCTCCAATCATGGTGCAGCTCTTGCACCCCTATCACAGCATATCTCTGGCAGCCTTCTCATATCATGCTAGAACAGGCATGATATTGGCATCCCAACAAAAACCCTGGTCCCAGATCAGTCATCAAGCCTGAGGAGTAAGTCATGGTCTAGTGTTCTGGCTGAACACCAGTCTTTGGCTCATGACTCTCTCTTTGCATTCCCTCCTAGTCTTCCAGGCATGTGTGGTCTCATTCTGCACTCAGCTGTGCTTTTTAGTCTGCTGTTTTTCTATCTCCTCTTATTCACACAATCCTCTGTGACACCTCCTGCTCCTGTTATTTTCCTTCCTTTTCTCCCAGTAAAGTCTGGGCTAGCATTATATTAGGAACCCTGCTCTTATTTAGGTCCTTGCCCTACATTCTGATATTCTCTTTCCTGGGCCTATGGCAGATGCACTGGAAGATGGTGAAAGATGTCAGCTCCACAGTTCACCTGGACACCATGGAGGCAGGACATGATTATTGTGTAAAAGCTCAGACATACGTCGAGACGATCAACAGAAGCAGTAGCTTCAGCCAGACACAGTGCGTGAGGGCACAAGGTAACAGCCAGCCTTCCTGCCTCTTCCCTTTGTGTAGTCATGCCCCAGGAAGATATCCCAGCATCTCTTATTTTTGTTTACAGCCATTATCTCCTGTCTTCTTTATAAATTTACTACCCATTTTTTCCTTGGGGGAAGTGAAAAAGGAAGACTTGGGAGTGCAGGCTCCTACAGTGGCATGGGTATCCTTATGTGGAGTGGGCTGACAAAAAATTTCACCAGAGGGGGTGAGAAGGGCAGCTGCAGAGGGCAGAGTATGATTGCATTGAGTGGTTTGTCCTCACAGTCTGAGAAATTTTGCTGCTTCTGTTTTTTCTAGGTGGCAGATCCTTGTGGCTCGTTACTGCCATGATATCCTCTGCTGGCTTTGCCCTGGCAGCTTTGACCCTGCTTTTCCTTGCCTGGAAAACAAGTAAAATCTTTCAGTATTCCTGCTGCCCCATTGCTGTCCTGCCAGACACACTGGTAACTTTTTTGTTTTGCTTTATTGTTTTTATGGTGATGTATATTCACAGCAGCATGGGGCAGGCAAAAAAAAAGCAGACATATGCATATGAAGACTTGTTTGTTCCAGTGTGATGGCAGAGCCGATGTCCAGGGGAAAGAGAAGTGCACCATTTATCGTAACTTCAGAAACAGGACAGCAGAAAGTCCATATAAGCAGTCAGCTGGGCTGTAGGGGTGAAGCAGCCCACATGAGGTGGTTGCATGGCTGTCACTGCCTTTGGCCTAGAGCCCTGAGTAGGGACAATGCTCCTGGTGCTTGCAGGAAGCAGCTTGGGAAGCATGGCCTGACCCTGCCTGACCAGCTGCTCCCTGAACAAAACAGCTGTGTCACTGGCAATACAGCTCCATGTCCTCTGGCACCAACATTGAGCTTCTTAACTCCTTGGTGAGGATAAAACAGTTATCAAGAGCAGCCTCTTGTCTTGCTCACCCAGGAGGAGTATATCAAAATCAGTAGCTTAAATGTACTGTACAGGTCCAGTGAGAATGCAGGCAGGAGCTTTTGTGGTTCTGATCTGACCACTGGGTCTCTGCACAGTTGTGGCAGGCAGGATGAGAGGGGGTTTGTGTGGAGAGGTGAAAGATAGACAGACTAGCTCATCAGTCTGAGGGTGTTTGAATGAGTATATTCGTTTTACAGAAAGCAGCAGAGCCCCCCGCCCAGCTGATACTGTGTGGGAATGAAGAAGCTGAGCAATGTGATCTGATGGTGTGTGTGATGCCTTCAGAAGAGGTTCTCCGACTTTGGATTCAAGAAACACTTTAGCACACACCCCAAAAAAAATCCCTGATCCTGTGGAAACATCTTCTAAACAGACCTGGCAGATCATGCTTCAGCAGGAGTCCTCAGAGTACCAACAAGTAGCAATGTTATCTTTGTGTATAAAAACTGCTGTGAAAAAAGCGTTGTGTATAAACATGCGGCCTGCTCTCATCCTCTTCATTACACCTTCATCCACCTACAGAAAAGCCAGTAAAGGCCACAGGTGACAACTGCCAGTTTCTGTACTTTCCCTTTATATCCATACCTATGACCAGACAAAAGTTAACTCATCTTCCCTTCACCTTTCTCAGCCACATGGATGGCCCCAAGGTAGAGCCCACTCTTCAGGCACCAGTTCACCAGAGCAGTAAGTGTAGGGGTCCTAGGGGTCCCTTAAGCCCCTTAATCCCTTAAGCCCAAACCACTTCGGTGTCAGCATTTTTGCCTCAGTATTTTTCAAAGAAATTACCCTGTGATGAAATAAGCAGCAAGAGCTTCTTAGATGGCCAAACAGCTGGAACAAACAGGGGAAAAAATGGTATCAGACCCTGAGCTGAGGTTATGATTATTGGAAATAATGTTGAAAATGAGTGGTTGTGACATGAGAATTTGCTGTATGTGACAGATAGCAATATATGGTGAGAATAAAACTTACAGCACCATGAGGGATGGCAGGGTTTTGTGAGTGCCTAGCAGGGAGCAAAGGTAGAGAAAGGTAGGCTCAAGAAATGGGAAAAGAAACAGAAAGAAGGACAAAAAGATGTGCAAATCATGTGGCCAGGGCTGTTCAGGCCGGGGCTGGCCTGTTGCCAGTCTCGTGGTTCATCCCCACAGCTGAAGCAAGATGCTGACTATGTCACACAGGGCAAACCTGTCTCTGTGGCCACGAAGGCCAGGGTGGGGGCAACTGGAGTGCTTACCTTGGCTAGCAGGAGAATATCAGGAAGGATTTATCAAGCAGCCCAGCATTACCATGTCTGTGGCTATTTCAGGCCTGATGACACCGTTTTCTTCCGGATATCTCGTCATCATGTTAAGGAAGGAAATCTCAAAAGATGAAGAAAAATTCCTCCTAAATACAGATAACAGCTCTAGCTGTTTTACATATACTGCAGTTATGGCTCTCACTGCCAAGACAAGTCATTTAACACCTGGGTAGCAGACCTGTGGTAGGTAGCAGGGCAGGGGAAGGCATTGCATCCTTGCAAGGCTGCATCAGACCACCAGGTAGCAACAAAGCACCGCGAAAACAGTGAAAGTGATGGCCCCAGCTCCCACTGCTCCAGTCCAGGCAGTTTTGCCTCCGCAGCCTCCCTGCCTCCGCACCTGCTTCATGGCCGGATCCCCACTTTTGTGCTGCAGCGGGGTTACTTGTTTAATTCCTAGCAATATTAGGACCTAGTGATTATTGTTAATAATGATCAGGTTGGTAGGGCTGAATTAGTAGCAGATTGTAGGGTATGAAGTTCTGTGCGCTGGCTCATGGTTGATAGTCAGGTTGTGGCTAATGGATGGGGAAAAGCCTAGTTGTAAATACTTCATACAACGAGTCCCAGGCAAGAGGATTGGGGAGCAAAGAGGAGGAGGTGGCATGCATGGCCTAACCCGATGAGTGCTGGAAGCCCCAGCCAGTTCTGCTGCCAGGCTGAGCTGGGAGGCTGCAGGGGAAGGCAAGCAGTGACTGACTGAGCTGGCAGCGGGTGGCAGGGCGCAATGGCCAGGTGAGCAGGAGAGTCAGTACCGAAGTGCTCTCCCGAGCATGCCTACTGGCTCTCTGCCAAACACATATCCAGATGGCTTTGCCCAGTGCTCAGATTTTTGAAATAGCTCCCCCTTACCGAAGTCTCGGTGATAAAGCTGGGTTAGTGAGCTCCTGTGCTTTCCATCTGTCCTTATTTTATTCCCCACTGGCTGGGATGAGTTCAGTGTCTTGGTTTCTAGTGTGCCCCAAAAGGGTGTTTCCATATAGGAAACAGATCTGTTGCTTGTCCAATCCATGAGCAGCCTTTGCACCTCTCCTATCGCTTTTCCCCCTGACTTTGTTGCATTACTGCAGTATTGGCAATTATTTAAGGAAACAGGAAAGCAGGGAAAGAAAAGGCTTGTTAATTTGAATGTGAATGGCTTTTAAACATTATTGTAATAGATATTTTCAGCATATTAAACATAGTGCATATGTTTCTTTCCCACTTGCAATAACAGATTTTATGACCTTCCTCACTGCCAATAAAGTGGTTAAACAGTTGCACCAAAATGCCTAGACAATATTAAACAAAAGAGACACGGAATACTATTACAACAGGGAGACAGAAAGGAAATGTTTAAGTGCTGCTGCTATCTTAGCAAGACAACATTTACATCAGGATATTCCTGTTTGTGTCTGTGGAGACTTGAAACAAAATTTGAGATGCTGATTGAAAGTACCTGGAAAGTTTCCAACTTTGAAGTATGTGCTGCATTTTGCCAAGCCTGAAAATTAAGGAATAGAACAAGAGCAATTATTTTGCCATCCGTACACCCAGCAACATGGTGACATTGCTGAAGGGAGCTGCCATCAGTCAATCCTTTTAGTTCATTCCCGTGCATTGAAAGAGTTAATCGTGCCGTAGCAGTCATGGCAACGGCTGCCTTTGATAACTGATCTTGCTCCCACGACCATGCATTGCAAAGGCAGGATCAGAAAACTAATTGCAGGAAAGAGCAATGTGTTCTAATGAACTTTGCTCTGTTTCTTTCCCTTGGTGTGGTGGTAAGTGGCTCCATTTCTTTCTAAATTCACTTCTTTGTTACTTTCATCAAAAGATGTTGCATGAAAATAAAGTACAAACCTGCATCACCTTTTTAGTCTGTTTTTTGTTTGTTTGTGTGTTTGTTTTTGTTTTTTCTATGCTGCTTATAACCGGTGGGATGCAATTCCTAAACACAATGTTTTCCTGCGGACTTTGAAAAAGCAGAACATAAGGAATGTTGATAAGACCTGTTTTCAAAGAAAAAATATTTAGTCTGTTGAATGCAGACCAGCATAGAGACTGTTGAATACATGAACTTTTAAAAAAGGGGTTACATGTTATAATTCAACTGACAAGAAAGCAAGAAACTTGATTATCTGTTCCATAACACTAACTGGCTGGAATATAACTTAATTTTTCCTGTGAAGTATATTTCCTTGGAAGTATATTACTGTTGGCAGTTTTTAAGGGCTGCTGATGTTAATATGCTGTCCAGCATTTCACTCTCCAATTGAATTGAGATCTATAACTTGATAAATTACCATTTCAAGTATTTTCTGTATAACTAAAGTATGATTTTTTCTCTTTAAAAGTTATATTTTTTTTCTTAAAAAATCAAAAACTATCCAAAAGCACTACTTTGACTACAAATTGTTCTCAATTTTCTGTGAATGTGTTATGTATCCTAAGTGCTACAAAGATAATAAATATCTAAAGCACTGCAGATAAAGATGTTTACTCTTTAAAGAGCTCATGTAGAAGAAATTCTGTTGCTATCAGAATAACAAACTGCAGAAACATAAAATTACTCAGTTCAGATCTATTATGGTCTTCTCTATAAACTGAACTATTAAAAATAAATAAATTACTAAATCAAAGTATAAAAGGACTTAGAAGATGGCAAGGTTAAGTGAAATTGCCCACATAAATACCACACATGGAGCCCTACTTTGGTTTCATTTATTGTATGGGCTATAATTTAGCTCTTGACACAGAAATAGCTGCTTCTGAGGAGTTAAAGTCCCTGACCCCACCTGGGACCCTGCAGGAGAACAGCAGAGCAGGGCCAGACACAATGACTGGGGCCAGACCCCAGAAAGGGATAAAACCCCCCTTTTTCCCAGGGAGAAAGGGATGAAATCAGGCCCACCGGTGATAAGGGATGGCGTGCTAGAATCAGAGGGGCTGTGTGCTAGTGAAGTCCTTTGGTCTGCTCCACAAGGTGCTGCGTGCAGTGAGGTGCATTTGAAGTGCTTCTACACAAACGCATGCAATAAAATGGATGAGCTAGAAGTCTTGGCCCAGTCCCACAGCTACGACATCATCAGCATAAGCAAAACCTGGTGGGATGACTCCTGTGGCTGGTGTGCTGCAACAGATGGTTACAGGCTCTTCAGGAGGGACAGGCAGGGTAGTAAGGGGGGGAGGACTGAGGTGGAGAGTGGCGATGTACGTGAAGCAGGGGCTGGACTGTGTGGAACTTCAAGTTGGCGATGGCAAAGTTGAGAGCCTCTGGGTAAGGCTTAAGGGATGAACAAATAAAGGGGACGTTGTTGTGGGAGTCTATTACAGACCACCAGGCCAGGATGACAATGCCAATGAATTATTCTTTGCAGAACTAAGAGATGCCTCGAGATCAACTCCCCTTGTCCTTATGGGGGACTTCACGTTGCCAGACGTTGCCAGATGTCAACTGGGATTACCACACGGCTGACACGAGCAAGTCCAGGACGTTCCTAAAGCACCTAGTATGATAACTTCTTGGTGCAGGTGCTCAGGGAGCCAACTAAGAAAGGTGCCCTCCTAGATCTGTTGCTGGAGAACAGAGACGGTCTTGTGGGGGATGTGGCAATTAGCAGCCATCTCGGTCATAGTGAGCATCACTTCCAACTCTGAATATTCTATGATTCTATGATAACAGTCAACCGCGATGAGCAAGGGCACTGCAGGACACGCTGCAGGATGGCCCACACAGCTCGTGTGCTGCAAGGGTGGCTATAAACTATTCCAAAGGGATTGACAATGTCCCTGCTGAATAAGGAGAGATGCTGAGGCCCAAACCAGCTTTTATAGGATGCTGCAGTTGCCTCACGGGGACTGGGCAAATTTCTCAGGTCAGTGTGCTGAGTCTAGTCACTTGACACCCTCATTGATGATTTCTTAAAGTAGCTAGCCCAAGACTCAATAAGAAGAGAAACAACTTGGCTTTCTTGAACATTGCACCAGAAAACATTCTTAACGTTATGATTGATGAGTTCAGGAGATGTTCATATCCAAGAGATGATCACAGTACACTTAGTATCAACATCTGTGTTAGCAATAAGGACAAAACATCAAATATTGTTGTGCTAATTTCAAGCAATTGTAGTATGGGAAAATTAGGCAGCTTATTAAAGAGAAGAGGTAAGGGGCATACAAACAGAAAATCTTAGCAAGTGGCTTAAGGCCTTTTTAAAGACCCTTTAAGGCCTTTTTAAAGACCCAGGGGCTTAAAGAAAATGCATTCTACTGTCAAGAAGGACGTTAATTAAGAACAGAGAAAACTTGGTATGCTGAAATAACAAGGTGAGGGAAGATAGTACAAGCAACAGGGCACCCTTCAAAAACCTGAAGTTAAATGAGAAAAAAAAAAAAAGGAGGGGTCACAATTTCTGTCTGATTAAAAGTAAATACACAATAAATCAGGACAAAAAGAATTTGAGATACAACTTCCTAAAAACATCTAAACTGATAATAAATCCTTTTCCAATTACATTAGAAATGGGATGTTTGCCAGGGAGTCTACAGGGCCAACAGATGAGGATGTTTCAAAGCAGATCTCAGGGAAGATAGAGCAATGGCAAAAGAATGAACTGAACTTGTAACAACTTTGTTTACTGTGAAGGATTTTATTTAAGCTCCCAAGCAAAGTCCTTATATCTGAAAGCGTAAGATTACCTTTCAAAAGTGGGTGTGCTTGGAGTATTTGTTCATTAGGAAGAAAATTAGTAAATTACACAATCCGGATATTATTCAGCCTGGAGTTCCTGCATGTGGATGGGAGATTTGAGCACTAGCTGTGGTGCATTGCTCTTCATACAATCCCAGGATAATTTAAGCTGTGAGAGACCTCAGGAGGGCTCTAGTCCAATCTCCTGCTCATGGCAGGGCCAGCTCTTGTGTCAGACCAAGTTGCTCCAATTCTGGGCTTGGAAATCTTCAAAAATAGAGACTACACAACCTCACTCAGCAACCTGTGCACCATCCTGACTAGTGAAAACAAATGGCCCCTTAAATTGTGACAGAAGCTCTCTTGTATTATTTTGGGCATAACACTGAACTTGTCAAGGCCCAGTAGTTTTGATATAGGTTGGAAGTGTGGGGTTGGTTTAAATGACTTCCAGAGATCCCCTCCAATTAAAAATATTCAACAATTCACATTTGGCAGAACTATTTTAATTGAGTGCTCTGTATCTATATTAAATTATGCAGTCCATTTAGTTTAATGGAGTTAATATTAACATATGCAGAATAATAGACCTATGTGAAACCTGAACAGCATGGAGCCTCCAAGTAGAGCACATCGTGGAGGAAATGGGGATCTCTTCAAAGATGCACACACCATTAGAGGCCGAGTGAAGAGGTGACCTGTAGCCTGCTTGAGACGTTTCAGGAAACAGAACTAAAAGGACTTTTCCTCATCTAAAACTCAGTCAAGGAAAGGGTTGGAAAGAACTTACTCATGATCAGCTGTGAGCCTGCAAATACTACCTCAGGCTCCCAACCTAAGCAGACAGTCCTTAAGCTACTGCTGAGCTTTTTCTCTCCTGCAAGTTCATTCCATTTAAATTCTATAGGTTCTATTTAAGTTCTATAGGTTTTATTACTACATATTGTGGTGTTCAAACCTACCTCCCACTTTTTATATGTATAGCCCTTATCTGCTGTGCTTTCATTCTGTTAAATAGCATCCTGTTTGTCCTTCAGGTTGCTCATACATCTCATCCCTCCTGCCACTATCCAGACAGACTGATGGCTAATATTTTTCCCCCTCTTTGCCAAGTCCTGGCCCTGACTCCCTCTTCTGCCATCTGGTGCAACTTCATTGTTAATTTTGATATTGTTATCATACAGCTAAATTTGGTACTTTAAATGTAGCACCAAACTAAACCGGTTTAGCAGATGCCTCTCACCATCACTGCGTGTCTTGCTGGGATAGTCTCATGCAAGCCTTCTCAGCTTCTCACATTATTTGTGCAATTTGGCATTTTCATAGCCACTACTGCACAGTTGTTCATTTTTCTTCCACTGCACTGTGATATATTGTCGCCTGCCAGGCACAAGCCTTCTGGTCACCAGCCTGTTGTCCCTCTATTGACCTGTTCTCTTCCACTTGAAACAGTTAAGAACCTATCTTTGCCATGAAGACATATCTTTTCCACTCTGTTTTGCATCTGCTATCAATCTCTTGTTTTTATCCTGTGTTGCTATACCTTCTCCCATCTTCCCAGAGGGAAAGACTTCTGCAAAGATTGAGATTTGAAATGTTTTAAATCTTCTTGCTGTATGAATAAATTTGCCATGTTCTATAGCTTCTACCTCAATATAAACTGCAAGCAGTATTTTGCAAAATTCAGCTTCAGTTTCTAGAGCTAGCCTGACTGTCCTGCCTTCCTGTGGCTGCCAAACTTTGCATTAATGTTCAGGAAGACTACCCCACTTCCATTTGTCTCTGAGCCAGCAGCCCCAGGGCTGTTGATCCATTGGCTTGGAATTCTCCTTCATTTTCTATCTGAATCATGAGCCAGCAGTGACTTTGTCCTCTGTCATATAAAGGATATGCCTAAATCATTTTAAAATCAAAATAAGTGCCTGATTTTCATCAAAAACATTTTTGCCATCCATTTTGTTCCACCAGGAGAGCTGGTAGAATGGAGTTGACTTTTACATCTCCATGGCTTTGTTAAAACCGCACGTTCTCAGACCCATTTCCCTCCTCAGCAGAAGCACAGTAGTACAGTGAAGTAGTCAAGAAGATGTATATATGATAGTACATTCCCGTCTTTACAGTGCACAGTGACAAATGGCAGACCAGCATACATTATAAATTTCAGGTGCTTACATTTGGCCTGGAAGAGTGAATTTCTCTTGACTGACTCTAGAAAACCTACTTATATTTTAAAATCTGCAAGATACGTGACTGCCATAGACACGTGAACCCCTGCCCACACATGAGCCAAACCATAGCAGCTGGTCAGTACTGAGCTTACAGACTACCACAGACAGGGCATGAGTCAGGTCAGCTTGGATTCTATTGAAGCTGCATTCTCTTGCACTTACCATGGTCTGAGGGCACACACAACTACCACAGCTCTGTAGGCATGGAGAAATGGCTGTCTCTGATCCCTCAGAAGATAAACCATATTTTTAAATGTTTTCCCTTAGAATATTATGTACGTCCCAACAACAATCTTGTTTTAAATTACAGTCTTTAACATCACCAGCATTAAAATAGGGGTGCTACAGTGCTTCTTTATGAAAACTTATATAGCCAGCCCCTCCTGCTGACAAGCTTTTTGACCTGGGTTACTCAAAGCTGAATGAAATTGAATGCTTGACAGTCTTTTTTTTTTTTTTTCCCCTTACTAGTGACCTTATCCTTATTGGAAAGTGCATTTGTGATGCTCAAATTTATTTTCTCTTCAGTAAAAATAAAAAATGAAAGCACCAAAATAATACAAAGAACTGGTTCTGGTTTGTTGACGTTGTCTCTGACAGATATACTGGCCCCAGCAAAAAGCCATCCCTGTATAGCCAATATAAGTAGCCTTTCCTATTCCTCTCTGGTAAAGTCTATTTTCCCAATAGAGCACAATTTCTGCAGAGAGAATATAAAGAAACATGAAAACCAGGATACAGAACTTTTTCAAGCAAATTTGCCTGGCCACCCCTTTCTGAGCTAAAAATCACACTGCCAAATCATATTCTACCTCTTACAATGCATGGGCATATGGATGAATCCTATTTATGACAATAAAATACGTGGACATATGAATGAATAAGCAACTTCTTCACACAAACATCACCAAATGTACCTGGTTTACTCCTCTGCCTGACAGAAACTGAAAACTACAGTCATTTAAATTCTGTCCATATTGATAATAAAAGGAAAAATATATTCAAATGAGAAAATGGAAGGGCAAGATGATACCTGTCAGGAGTTAAAATGTTATTTTCAGAGCCTGAGCCAAGCTATTTGTTTTGAGGAGGAAGTCAAATTTTCATTAAACCCAGCTCAGATTTGGTTGTTCAGCTACAAGGGCTGGGATGCAATGCTCATAAGGTCTATATGATTTCAAAGGACTTTGCAGAACTATTGTAGGGTGACTGTAACCCTAGTAATGTTGCCAAAAAAATGGAAGAGATGCAAATGAATTAATCTATAATTAGTGTTTTAGGCACCTCCAAAGGCATAGTGAGATATAAACTTTCTATGAATGTATAAGCCAGATGTCTTGGCTATAAAAGAGCATGTTTAACTTTTCTCAGCACTGCTACATTTATTGTAGGTACTTTTGTTTTGGGGCAACCATTTTGCCAGGCCAAGGAATCTATGAACATTGAAAAACTTACAATCTGCCAGTAAGACTTTGATGTGCAAAAATGCTTCTTTAATTTTAGCAATAAAGAACATAAATTCTGCTTCTAGAGTTCCACTTAAGTGAATCTGTAACTTCTTGTAAGAATTTAAACGTCTGAGCAAAGTTAGTATTGGAAAAAGTAACAAATATTCATTAAACTTTCACCTTAAACCAACCCAACAGTCAGCATCTTGCTTGTGAGGAAATTCACAATTGTAATTTACTGACTGAAAAATTTCTAATTCAGGGTCAGAAATGGATACCAAGGTTCCTTGTAGCAAGAATGAAAGTTTTATCTAGGTAGCAAGCATCCTTTATATTAGAAATATTCCTTCTGTGAATGGGGAAAAGTTTCCTATTTACCCATCAAATATGATATCAAAATAACTGTATAGAGCAAAGCAATTTAACAAAATTTAACAACATTAATTTTTAACAACATCACAAGAAAGGGAGGGATATAAAACTACTTGGTGTGATGCAGGTGTGCATCTTTGCACTGATTTGTTCTGGAGGAGTCAACCCTGGTCAGCAGCTTGGACTGCCAAGTGCAACCACATCCAATCCCTTTCTGGGAGGCAACTTTTGGGATCAGCTTTCAACTCTACTCAGTGCTATAACAAAAGCACTTGTAAGAGAGAATCACTACAGCTGCACTGGCACTGCTGTGTTGAAATTCCACTTGTACCATCCACAAAACCACAACCTGGGTTTTCACAGCCTGTTTTCTGCCAAACTGTTCAGTAATCCGAAAGCAGACCCCTTTATACAGGGAATACAGAAGCCACAGCCCTCTTACTCTCCAGCATGCTCCTACATGGCACCTAGATACCCTGATCTGTGGACAGATGCTGATAAATGTGTCCTGTTTTCACCAAATACAGCCTAATATGCATTGCTGCGTCTTTATGTGTGCTTTCTTTGTGCATAACCAACCTATTCAAAACCTGAGTCACAAGCAGAGGTACATATGAAAGGGCAAGCAGGATGTGATACCACCTTTGAGCAGTCAATTGAGCAGTCAAATGCAGCGAACAGCACGGATATGGGAGACATCATATGTACTCTTTTCAGGTGGAAAGACAATAAGCTTCCCACAGGAGAAGCATCTTTATAAAAACCACTAATCTAATGAGTCATCTGAAGTAAAAATTACCTGGACACAGAATCTGGGTTACGGTGGCATTATGGGTCACTATAGTATAATCAAGATGAGAATTGTTTGGCCAGTGAAGGATGGAGAGGCATGAAGGAAAGAGATTGCTCCTGAGTTAGGCCTCATACTTGGCAAGAGTTCCTAAACAAAAATAACATTTTGCAGTCCATAGCACCATACAATCACACCTTCTGAGTGAACACATCATCCACCAAAGAAAGAGGATGGGAAGTATTGTCTAATCTCTGACCTCTAAGATATCTCTGGAGAGAAAACTGTCAAAATATCCCATATGATGATGGTCCTCTTCTCACATGAGACCACATTTTTTTCAGAAAAAAGAGTGCCTATAGATCTAGTCTTTGAGTGGCACAGACCTGGTGTTTAAGAAAGAATGAGCAACACTGAAAGCTTTTTAAAATATCAAACCAAGCCACTCTGAAAGTGACACTTAGGAATGTGTTGTCAGACCAGTGACACTGGATCAAGGAAATTGTAACTGGAAAACAGTACAACAAACTGTTGATTCTGATGTATGTTTTTTATGAGACCTTTCTGTCAGGACTGCTAAGGTCTTTGCTACATGCTATCAGAAATGATTTTTTTACCTGCTCAGCTTAGGAACTGGAAAATTTTCTTTAGAAACCTTGTTGTGCTCAACTCAATACCCCCATGTACATGAGATGCATCCTTAGTAAAGTAAGAAGTCAAACTGAAGAACAAGATTTCACATGGTATCAATATTCAGCCCACCTGCACGTATACCATTGTGGGATGTGGGACTTTCCATTTACTGACTGCTAAATTTGTGTTAAAAAAAAAAAAAAAAAAAAAAAGGCAGTATTTTCTCTTAGCATCATCTCTTAGATCGACGGAATTATATAGCTCAGCCTATAGGTTTTGAGAGCTAAGCACATCATTGCTGAACACAGACTATTTTGGGTCAGGTGGGTACTGAACAAAAAGACAAAAACGAGGTAAAAGGAGCAAAAGGTAGCCTAGATATGAAATGGAAGAATAAGGAAAAATATGCATAGTTGATGGCATACATAGTAGTGATCTGGGGGAAGAATGTAGAGTACTTTCATCCCAACATTCTTCTCCAAATTTATATTTATATAAATATATTTAATTTATATATATATATATATATATATACATATATATAATATATATTATTATATATTATATAAGTCAATTCTGTTGATCGACTACGGTGAAGAAAAAAATGCCATTTTGCTGGACAAAGTGTGGACAAGGGTAGAATACTGGAGAGGACCAACAATTCATTTCAGCCACAGTAAGAGAACGAGGAAAGGATGAGTTATGCTGATAAATAGGCTAAAGAAAGAAAATATAGACTAGAAAAGGAGATTCTGAACCAGAGGAGAAAAGATGAACTACTAGGAGGGGTCCATTCCAAGGTGGAAAGAAGAACTGGGAAGCCCAGTCCAGTGGATGCTTAAAAAAACATTACAAATAAAAGAGAACTGCCCAGAAGGACAGACCTGTAAGAAATGACAATATGAAGACAAACTACATTTAAAAAAAAAAACTGTTGATTTAAAAACAGCATATTATCCCATGCAGTTGACACTACTGGTATAAAGTAAACAAACTATGCACAACAAACCCCCCATCATCACTAGGGAACCCAAGTCCTCTCATTTTACTGAATGCTGCTTCTGTTTCCTACTAGTGAAAAACAGAGCCTGATTGAAAGAGTTCCTTTGCAAATACTATCATTATTTTAAGTCCTCTGGGAAATTCTTTTTATGCTCAAGTAAATACTGAATAATAACAATTTGCACTGATTTCATAAGAAATAGTAAAGGAAAAGTGGGATAGCTGTAACTCAGGAAGGTATTTTTTCTCACAAAATCAGAGAAGAGCTATTGCTGCAAAAATATTTTTAAAGTTCTTATAGCTACAATACGAAAACTACTTCTCTATAATGTTCAAACCCTTCTGCTTTACTATGAAAGATAATACCACACAAATACAAGTTAATCCAGGCATCTGAACTGCATTCTGTAACATTTCCATTACCCTTTCCATTTTTATACACACCAAATCTGATAAACAGAGATTATATAAAGAGAAATCTTTGGAGCTTTATAGCATCAGTATAGCAGACTAGTTTCCTCTTTAAAAAAAAAAAAAAAGAAAAAAAAGAAAAAAGTAATCCCAACACATACATACAGTCTGGTCTAATTAAAAAAAAAAAAAAAAAAAAAAAAAAAAAAAAAAGCTGACTTCTGACTTTTGTTAGTAAAGAGAAAAAAAACATGTTAAAAGATTCTTTGACTTTAACTTTACTTTGTGCTAAATATCTTTAAATGCTTAAGATTTTAAAAGCTCTATATCACAAATGGAAGGGAAAGGGAAAGGGAAAGTGGGAAAGGGAAAGGGATCTCTGCTTTATTTTGCTTTTTTTTCTATACTGACACTATGTTTGTTCTTGACAGACCTGTCTTCCCAAAGAACAACAATAAAGAAAGTAACAAAGAACTGAAATAGAAATCTCTGTTAGGATTAGGAGTAAAAACAAAATCTCAAAAGTATTTAAAACAAAATAATCACAGCCAAAAAATTGGATGCTCATCTCCCTGGGGGATGGGCACCAAAGAGTATCCAGAAGTTGATGCCAGGACCAGAAAACACAAGTTATAGAGCAGTAAACAGAGGGGATTGGTGAGAAAAGACCTGTAAAAATAACCTGTATTCACATTTGGAAAAGTGTGATGAGTTAGGTGCTGGCGACCACTTGAAAGATAATCCTGAATAGCACTAGCTATCTTGTGAAGACATGCTGTCAAAGTTTAAAGTGCACTGTTTATTTCTCTCAGCAGGCAGATGAGCCTTTGAACACGGAAACATCTATATGCATTTCTAAATGAAATGTCCTTCAATATAAAAGGAATTGAAATAATAATCCTGTGGTCATCTAAATAGCTATCATCTGTATTTCTTGCATGCCATTAAAACCAGCTAAGTAATGTTGATCACCTGGCTGCAAGATGAAATGATGAAAGGACTGGAACATGGAGTTGTATGGTGCAATTCCTACTGCAGAAGGAGGCCTGCATACAGGAGCACTCCTCTAGCACAGGCCACTGGAAAAAATCTGGTGTTGAGGTAGTAGTAGATGACATCGTGTACAGGCAAGAGAGGGCAAAATGAAGGCCCACCCCTGCTCTGCCAAGCCATTCTATTAACCTTGCAAGTATTCTCATGAAGCTGCATTTTCTAAGAACTTCCTAGCTTACTTTTAAAAGAAAAAGTGTGAAAGGAGAAACTTAACCTGGTCCTTCCTGTCTTTCTTCAAGGAGCTGGAGCAGCTACCACCATATTCCATTCTGAGGGTGTTAAGGCACAGGACAAGCTTTGAATGTTGAGTCAGTGTGCTAACTGAGACATACATGGTGCAATGAGAGTATTGGCACCTCTCTTAGTGTAAGCCTGTGTGGCAGCACAGCTACTTCCAGGGCTTGCTTTAGTCCATCTGCTACAACTGCTCTGAGAGTCTACAAACAGCTCCACGGGCCTTACAGGGTGTCCAAACAAGGCTGGCAGGAAGTGTCACTCAGTCCAAGGCCTAGCTGGTATATGCAGTTTCCTCCCTGCATAAAATTACACTCATCAGCAAGGGCTGCAGAGCCATTATGGGACAAATGTGGCCAACCTCAGCTCTTGGATACAAGGGCTGTACCTTGTGTCCACAACAGGCCTGTGTACAGATGGCACCACCACCATCACTGGGTGCCCTGGTCTCCTCACAGCACCCAGCATTCACCCGGTAGCTCTGAGCAAATGGGGAATGAGGTCGTCTGCTCTGAGAGTCAGGCAGCCAACAGGACAGGACAACATACTTCTCTTTGGAAAGGGGATATGACACAGTGCTCCCCACCACCTGGCAAGTAAGGCCTGTGTTTGCTCAAATTAGTTCTTGCTGCCTGCACAAACCAGAAATGTCCTGCGGACCCACTGCAAACAACTGTGAGTGCTCTGTGTGGAGATAATAGCCTGTGAAAGGGGCTCCACCCGCTATTGTGAAGGACACAAGTTCTGCTCGCTGCAGACATTCAAACCTGAACTCTGAGGCTTTGCTGACTTGCACTGCAAACCCCTGAAGACAGAGAATTATACAAGGATACTCACAGCAGAATCAACCCTTCAGTTTGCTGCTCATTAGCCCAGAGAAGAAAAGCTGAAGTGCTGCTCCATCCCTCCTCCTCTGGTCAAATCCCTACCCTATGGTATGTAGACAATGCATTTCTCAGCTACAGATGATGATCCTTTTTGGAATTAAGACGTGATGCTCCCCCTCATCTAGCTCGGCTGTCAGCACGATGCAGTTGTCCCCGAGCTCTGCCGAGGAGCGCGGCAGCTCCACAGCCGTCCCTGCTGACTGGCTTCTGACGAGTTTTTTCCTGCCTCATCATACTACAAGCAGAGTACAGCGAGTCCTGCAGCCTGCAGGTGTCTCCCAGCAGAGGAAGCTGCAGAGCCCCTGGGGATCATGTGTGGTCCCCGAGCAGATGTTGACTTGCTCTTGGTGCTCTTCGTGAGGCAGACCCTCTCTGATCCTGTCAGCGTGCTGAAGAACACCGACTACCAGAGGACGGCCGCACTCCCGCGCCTGCAGCTGCTCCTTTAACGTACAAAGGCAGGATTTCAAGTGAAGAGAAGAATGGGAGTCTGGCTGCAGCGTTTCCTTCACAGCTATAACAACAGATTGGAGGAAGCTGAGAGTTTTGGTGCCTGGAAAACTGGATTCTAAATCGTGAGAGGCTTTGAAACACCACCCCGCCCCCCAAATAAAACAAAAACCTTTGACTTCTCTCAGCAGGAGGGGGAGGGAGGGCGGATTTACCATGAAGACAAATCGAAGATGCAGAGCCCTGCTAGCAGTGAGTCTGAATCTGATGGCTCTCCTCTTCTCCACAACAGCTTTTATCACAACCCACTGGTGTGAGGGCACGCAGAGGGTCCCCAAGCCGAGCTGTGGGAAGGAGAAGAAGACAAACTGCCTCAACTACAGTGGGAATGAGACTGCCAATGAGACAAACCAGAATGTGGTTCACTACAGCTGGGAGACAGGAGATGACCGCTTCCTTTTCAGGTATTTCCACACTGGGATCTGGTACTCCTGTGAGGAAAATATCAATGCTTCTGGTAAGTGTAAAACAACTTCCTTCCAGCTTGTGTTGCTTTGTGTTTGGCTCGGCGTAGTAGACAAGCTGTTCTATGCTGTATCTTAATGCAGATTTGCCATGCAGACAGAGGCAGAAATTTAACATTTTTTTGTTGTTGTTGTTAAAACACAACCTGTTTCCAGTGAGAAAAGATTTGCTTGTTTACCTGCTGGCTGATGTGGGGTCTGTGCTCTAAAGCCGGCTGAACCTCTGATAAGCAATATGTGTTCCCCCTCATTGGGCACTGCAGCCAGAGACTGGCCAGTGTTTCTCTTCTGAGAGCGGCTCCATGGAGCGCACAAAAGGCAGCGGCTCTTAGTTGTTATGGAGATTCTGACATTTCCCCCATCTAATTGCAGTTGTCCCCTAAATAACCCAAAGGCCAGTGGTCTGAATGACAGTGAAAGCACAAAGCTTACTGTTTTTATCAGGCTGTTGCCCAGACTTCCTCTTTTCTAGCATCCATAAGTAAATGAGTACTCACAAATCCTTCCTGGTGGCTGGATTTTATATTATATATTATATATATATATATATATAGAAGTAGAGTAAAGGTAGTTAAAGGACAGAACTGAGCACAAGAAAGCTTATTCCTGTTCCCTGCTCAACCGTTCACTTACTCAGAACCACAAGAGGAGACATCTCTTCAGCTATTCAGTAAAATCATTAGAAAGAAATCTGTTTCTGTACCCTGGAATTCACCAACAAATGAACCACTGGAGGATGGGTGGAAGGCAGACCCTACTCCCAGAGCTGTCTGGTAGAGCTAGCATCCAAGCTCTGGTTTGGAAGAGCTTTGCTGCCATTGTCTAAGGAGTAGATTGGGAGGTTGGTCGTTCACCACTATTTGGAGAGAAGAACAGCTAATCATCCTATGTGTCTCCTAAGAGACACAAACCTCCCTGATACTGGGAAGTTTATGGGATCTGGTAAAACCCTGTATAAGTGTGTACTATGAAGTGGGACAAACTTTGTGAGCATCTCACAGTCCATTTCAAAGTAACACTCTGGACGTTAGAAAAAAGATTACTTTTGGAAATATTCTCAGGCCATAGCAGACTTAAGTGAGCAGCTTACGACCCTCCAACATTTTGAGCGTCTTAGCTGGGATTGGCACTATCAAACATGCCTGTTTCTGGCAGATGTTACAAGCTTTCCAAGCCAAGCTTTATGGTGAGGATAACTTGTAATTCTGTGACTCTAGCCCATTCAGAAAACTGAATTATCTTTGTGTGAAGAGAAATACAGTGCTCTATTCTGTACTGAGTACACAAAGCTGTGCTGTAGTGAGTGATTTTAGGAGGTAGCTGAAAGCCAGCTTTAGAAAGTTGTGGTGAAACCGGGAGAAAGAAGGTTGTTTCTCTGCTCTAGCACACCACTACAGCCAGCCACATGTATGTTTCATCTTATTTAAAACACTAACTTGCTGAAAAAGAACATTTCAATTAGAAGACCAAGAATGACTAAACTTCAGAACCCAATCAGATATAGGGATATATTGGCTTAGACAGACAATCGCTTTGTTCAGGATTTATAATAGTGGAGTTTTGTTGGTTTGTTTGTTTGCTTTCTGGTAAGGACAGGAACAGTATAATGGACACAGATTTAAATTTGATCCCCAGAATGTCAACATAAACCAACCAGTCTTAGTCCAAACTTTCAGGTTTCTAGTACCTGACTATGTACTCTAGTACATTGTCATGGCCTTTTGCAGCCTGATTGGCAGTCATTTCTTCTAAGCTCCAGGGCAGTAAGGCCACCAGCCAGCCCCAGTCCAACAGCACTGTGGTCATTGCTTATACATACAATTCCTCTGTTCTATACACCTATGTGTAATCAGTTCCATAGGCTGGTCATGCTGCCCACAACATGCTTACAGACCACACTTGTATCACAAGTCATATGGTCACTGTGTTGTTATTAAATGCGTAAGGATGCCAAGAGAATGTCAAGAAAATACCACTTAGCACACAGACAGCAGTGTATTACATCAGTCAAAATCACTAGCTTAAATGGACTTCATACTTTCAATAACACTTTTCTTAAAGTTTTACCAATAGCATACTGAAAATGACTGCATAAGAAAGTTAGCCTCAGTACTGTCATTAGATGCTCCTTAGTCCTCCATTGCTATAAGTTACTGACTCCGTAAAATGTCAGCATCTTCAGAACACCCTTTGTTCAGTTCGCAGTAATACATCCAATTCTCACTCAATCCACACACTGAATGTACCATCACCAACACATTGTATTTAGCCACGTGCTGTTCCTAACAGGTCTTGTAAATTTACCACACTGCTACCACTGTTATTCTGTGTCTTGGAGACCCTTCACTCTGGGTATCAATACCACACGTTCCATACACAGAGCACGGCTCTGAAGGATTCACACATGACATTCCCATGAACATACTGTTTGCTGAACACTCTTCTTTTAGCCCCACCTGATGTCAACAACAACCTTCATCTAGACTCAGTCTTTCAGCAACCAGCTCTGTCCTTTCAGCTTCTCAGCTCTGTCAGCAGTACACATGGGCACAGACAATGGTCAGTGCCATTCCTATAGTTCTTCACATATCCCTGATTCCTTGCTGCAGATGTCTGAAACAAAGCAACATGAATCCCACCTGCAATTCCAATAATGCTCTGTGTTGTTGTGATGTTATCAAAAGAAAAAACAAAACAAAAAAAAATTTTGAGTGTCTTTCCTTCCCACTGCTTATCTGAGAAGTCCATTAAGATTACAGGTGTAGAGGTGCAAAACCATGCCATACGCTGTCTGTACAGAGGCTAGCAAAGCATGCTTTCATCATGGTGCAGGTTTGTTGGTTTCACTAACATCTCTCACAGAGATGGAATGTTGTGATTATTTCTGAAATATTTTGTGAACCTAAAGTTTGCTTTTTATCCAGCATGCTTAGGACTGCTGAAGTTTCTGAAAAACATTTTGCAAATGAAAAATGAAATTGTGAATTCTGGGAAAAAAAAAGGGACTCAGACATATATATTCCATTTGCGTGTACATCCTATAACTATTTAGCACAATTTCTGACTGAAAAGTATGCTGAATCCCAGTCTAGTTAAAAGAGGATGGAGGTTCTCCCTTTCAGAGTGGGTTCAATGCTTTGGATCCCAGGCAGGTGGATGTACCTTCCATAAGAGCGATACGTCTAATTTCCAGAAGGAGATCAAGCTAAAGCATACCCTATCAGCTGTATAGCTCATGCTTGTAACGAGTCCCATTCTGCACTTAGACGATCCACAGAGTGCTTGGTACCTCCTTCCAGGTTATGAATTCCTTACTACGGCCTGGTGACTCAGAGCTGAGCTCCCTATTTTATTTTTTTATTAGTATGACCTCGAGTGCATATCTTATTTCACACCTGCTGTTTGGGTCTGTGCTTGTGTCAGTACTGGACACTTCACAGGCTAGTGATGTGCTAGTAGCAGCAGGGATAGGAAAGATTCAATGGTAAACTAACTGGTAGATTTTCTGACTAAAGAATGTAAATAACATAAAATAATTAACACATGAAGTAGCCAAGGTGGCATACCTTATCTTATTGAGAACTGGGAAGCAATAACATTTTTGCTCATTAGAGAATGTATTTGATTTTAACAGAAATAAAACATAACTCAGATCTTGTTTAAGTGGCTAATAAGCAGGCAATCTCAGTAATAACATCCACATTTCAGGGTGAAAAGCAGCATAATTACAGCTGTCTAGGTGCCCTTTAAGAGTACTGTCCCATCAAATAAAAATGATCCTTTCCATGTTGCTTGTCATGCTCCCTCCATGAGTATACATAGGCTTGGTCTTATTCTTGGAATTAAATTTTGAGCACAAGGTGTCTGTAACATTTTGCATTCTCTGTACTACCACATATTCATTAGCACTCTTTAAGGATTAAATGGTATAGTGGAACACAATATGTAAGCGTGGATTGGGCCACAAATGAGGACAATAAGTGCACATTTGCAAGACCCAGAGAGCTAGAGAGGTGTATCCTGCAGTCTTGAATAAATCTCTAACATGAAAAGACAAGAACTCGCCATACATTTTCACAGATCCATAGCAGTACTGTTTCATCCTTCTCTCCCCCATGATGTGATAATAAGCATACGTGACTCACTGTAGGCAGCTGTCCAGGGAGAGGGAAACACCTTGTGAATTTATAATTAAAAAGCAAGAGGAATTGGGAATTATTATTGGATTACGAGAAATGTAATATAATTGTCATTACTGAAACCTGGTGGTTTTATTCACATGACTGGAATGTAAAAATTGCAGGTTACAAATTGTTTAGGAAGGAAAGAGTAGGTAAAAGAAATAAAGGAGGTAGCACTCTATATTGAAGATACAATTTCAAGTGATGGAGGGCCTGGATAATTTTCATCTGAGACTGTTGAAATAATTGGCACATGAAAATGCAGCTTTAGTAGCAAGAATCCTTATTAAATCTGCGTATTTTTGTATTCAAAGAAGACTGGAAAAAATTATACAGGCCACTTGACCCAACCACATTAGGACAGGTTTTGAGGAAGTACTCAGTAGGCAACAAACTGGCTTTATCAAAGCTGTGCTTTTATCAAAGGTGGGCTTTTATCAAAGGTAGAACTTTTAACAAGATGAATACCTTCTTAGACAAGAGTAATGCATTACACCCAGTCTGCATGGATTTACATAAACTGTTTGATAGGATGTCCCACTGAAAATTCTTTACAGAACTACAGACAGCAGAGAGAATCGTAACAGTGTGGTGATAGATATAGACATACATATACTTCCAGTGGAAAATGCCAAATAT